TTCCTCCTCATAACTTTGTTGGAGCAGTTTCGGTGTACACTCCTATATATGAAGTTAGTATAGCTCGAACATGCACGAGGATAACGTATCAATTGAGATATATACACACCATATAAAAAAGTCAACAAAGAAACACCAAAAAGGCATACAGACACAGCACAACAGCAAAAACGAAAGATAAGAGTACAAAAAATCACCGTAGAACAACAACACAATGACGGGATAAATGGGATAAATCTGTACTGAGCCACGACAAATGGACATTACCAAAAATTGACTAAACAGTAAAATTGATATTCACAAAGAAAAATAGAAAACACAAAAAACTACCTTGGGTTGAGAGGACCTGTTGAAGGTACGTACATTCAGAAAAACGCTTCAAACGCATATCATTAAAAAAGTGTTCTATTTGTTTGAAAGTAGACAATCGCTATTAAGACTTCCAAAAATATCTAATGTAACTGCAGACAGCAATATATTTTTTTGTTGAATTGTAGGCGAAAAAGGTTTACAAATGTCCAATCTCATAAATCGATTAAGAGAAATTCATACAAAACCTGAGGAAATCGCATTAACTCCAGAGCCAGACCGAGTGTATGGACAGGGTTAGAATATTTTGCTATGCATGTATGACCAGCTATGCGAATTCACAATCAGTCAATATGTCACAATTGTAAAATTACAGATCATGCGACTATAAAAAAAAGTGCATGCTTCTATTCCAATTTATATAATATAATAAATTGCAGCAATGATAAAGGTTTTCTTAATAATGAGTCAGGTGTGTTGATAGGATAGTTAATAACCATAGTAAATTTAAATAAATGGGGAATGTGTCCATAGGGACACAGATGATGCCCCCGCTAGCATATAACATTATAAAGGGGCATACCTTAAGAATTGTAAAAGTGAAGCTGCCATAATTTGAACTTAAACTGAGTTTAGTGGTAATAAGCATTATATATACATTTCATAAAATTTACTTGAGACAAACTTAAGTTAAGAGAACAGAAACGATTAGATTCAGCAATTTTCCCATTTGAAAAGGGGCATAACCCTAGAATGGTAATCAAAGTGCTTGAAAGAACTAAATGGTAAAGATTTGCTTTAATTTATCAATTGGTAGTAAAATTGAATATTGCATTTTATGAAGCATTGGTTTTAGTTGATTCAACTACTATTCTGGACAAAGAAAGATAACTCAAATTTTCAAAGAAGATTTTAAAAAGCATTGATTCAACTACAATTAAGGACAAAGGAAGATAACTCCAATTAAAAAAAAAATAATTGATTGATATTTTTGAAACTTTTCAGCAATTTTTCAATTTGTAGCATAACTCTAGAACGGTAAAAGTGACGGCACCAAAATTCAAACTTGATCTGTATTTAGTGGTAATAAGCATTGTGTACAAGTGTCATAATATTTGGTTGAGGCAAACTAAAGTTAGAGAACGGAAACCAACTTTGGGACGTTCGTACGTACGTACGTACAGACGGACAAGGGTAAAACTTAATGCCCCCTCCGCTACGGCGGGGGCATAAAAAAACAATAACCAAACAGTTTCTCTTTAAACGTGTTGTTTGATAAGTATAAAAGTAAAATGTTACCTCTTTTTTTTTTAAATTAAAAAAAAAGAATGGAAATGTGCCATCATAATACAAAGATATTTTACGGGCATAATTTAGATGCATTTACTACTAACGTTTTTAAATTTATTGGACTTTCCGTTTGGAATTTTCCTCGGAGTACAGTTTTTTTGTGATTTTACTTTTTTTTAATACCATATATATCAGCAAATATCATTTGGAAATCACGATCACCTTGGAATTTCCATTTGTAATTATTGATAAAAAAAAAGAGATGGATCAAAAAGAATTTGTGATGACTTTAGAAAATTGAACCAAATAACTAAGAATGTAAAGCATATACCATATGGTTAAAAGGAAGTAAATAAAGATGACTGGCGCCACCTAGATTTTACATCCAAGATAATAGGTAGAAGTAAATTTATTTTCTGCTGCCTTGGTAATTAGAAATCAAAATTGAAATAGTGAGAAATGGGTGTTGGCCATTGGTGTAGAAATAGCGAGAAATTTAGAGAAAATTCTCTGTGACAAGCAACATTCTCTGTGCCAAATTTGGCAAGGGGTTTTCTTCATTCATACTATTTCGAAAATTTCGGAACCGTTGAGTACCCTTAAAAATGCCATTTTTCTATAAAAAAAAAGCTGCGGCACCATATGTGTTTTACCATTTCAAATACACCCAAAGGTGTTGATAATTCAGATTTCGAAAAAAATTTCAATTTATCTTTAATAGTGAAAACGCAGGACCAAAAAAGGCTACCATTGTCGCCTATGTAACCATATACCGATGATGTATTTACCTATTTAGGGAAAGCTTGTTATTCAAGTCCCTTGGAAAAGAAAAGTGGCTACTGGCAAATATCTATGCATGGAATAAACCATGATAATTTGTTTGTTAAAAATGTTATGAATTTAGATAAATCATTGTAAACTTCGAACCTTTGATAAACAAAGGGGCGAAAGATGCCAGTGGGACAGTCAAACTCATAGATCGAAAATAAACTGACAATGCCATGACTAAAAAAGAAAAAGACAGACAGACAAATAATAGTATTCAAGACACAACATAGAAAACTAAAGACTTGTCAACACGAATCCCCACCAAAAACTGGGGGTGATCTCAGGTGCTCCAGAAGGGAAAGCAGATTCTGCTCCACATTTGGCACCCGTCGTGTAGCTCATGTTATTACAAACCCGGTAAATAGTCTTATTCGGTAGGTCACATACGTGAAAAAGGAACGGGATTTTAGTTAAGACATAAGGAACATAACTCATACCACATCTTCCTTTATCTATATCCGATATCATCTGTGAAAGGGATATTCCATAACGGTCAACCAACTTGTGATGGCGTCCGTAAAATTTACGAAGAGGTGATTTCAACTTCACCATTTGGAACTCTTGGTTTAATAGCTTCATTGTGAGCAGCAACTCTCCATCAAGGAAATCATGATAGGAAATACAGGCCCGGGAATATCGTAATAATTGGGAGATTTATACTCCATATGCAGGAGCTGCTGATATGTTGCTACATAGAAATGGAAAGTTTACAATTGGGATCCGAAATCATCTCTTTTGTCGTAAAGTTTTGTTATCAACCGACCATCATTGTCAATTTTAGATGTAAGTCAAGATATGAGGCAGACTTATCTGTATCTGTTGATTCCTTTATCTCTAGATCGACAAGTTAGATGCGTTCAACATAGTCAACAAATTTTGAACTATTTAGTGTGAGAACATCATCTATATAGAGGAAAGTAAATTAAAGGATATTGCTTACTTCCTATCTTTCTTCCTCAGAAGTTCCGGTATGAAGTCAGCCTTATAATAATAAAGGAAAAAGTCGACAAGAAGCGGGGCACAATTGCTTTCCATGGGAATGCCGATAGTTTGTTGAAAAACACGTCCTCCAAACGTCTTGATGTCAGATTCAAAGAATTTTTTGTTTGAATCAGAGTGATTCTTTACAAAGAAAGATTTATCCCTCCCTAAGACAAGATACTTGTATCTACGTTGGCCATTATTTTTTATGAAACGAACCAATACCAACTCTTTCAATTTGTCTTTTAGTTTGGAATGGGGAATACTTGTGCAAAGTGTAGAAAAGTCAAATGTTTTAATACTATTGCAAGATGAAAAATCTTAGATTTTATGTACTCTAAAAGATCTTTGGATTTTTTTTAGTATCCACATCTGATTCTTCTAAAAGGTTTAACACTGGCAATATCTTTGAACATAGATTTAACTATACTAACATGTTTTAGTTATTTATTATATTAAAATATATATCAATATGTATTCCTATACAATTAGGAACACTTACAGTCCTATGTCCTTTGCAAAAAGTTTTTTTTTTATTAAGTCTTTTCACTGTATCCAATAAAGTCTGGAGCTTATTCAGTAATTTTCGTTTTTTACTGTTTATCATATTTGGTATTTATTTGTTGTTTATTAGGTCTTTCCACTATTCTGTGGTAAGACCTATAGTATTTGTTCGGATTTTTTTTTCTTCTTCTGCCAAAGTTGTTAAGTGGCCTGTTTTGTGGTTTCACAAGATTTCGATTCGATTATTTGCATATGTTATCGAATAGTTATTGCGCTTTTGAGACTGACCCTGTTTAGTCGAAGACTTTTTAATGGAAGAGTTTTCTCACCCAAATACCGTTTTCTTTGTGGTGAGATCTCCTCCGTAACCGTAAAAGAAAGCAACAAATTTAATTAACCAAACTGCTCCCTATATCCTCAGGATTTTTTGTCCATTTTTGATGGAAGCGGTACGAAGACTCCATATGAGAGCTATTTCCCCTAATGCATTTGAAATAAGTTATATGCATTTGTAAATGGTAAATCATAAGTGATAGAGACCTAGGGTCTCTTGCTTTGAGGTCTTTGGTCCAAAAAAAGAAGAAAACTAGGTCAAGGTCAAATTCTAAAGTTTTACTTTTCCTTGTTCCTAGATCTCCTGTGTCACTTTTAAAGACATAAATAAAAGAACTAGTGCAAAATGTTTGCCTAATTGTGATTAAGAATGATAAATTTGGTCTGAAACAATCCAATGACATCTTATAAAGAGTTATTCGACCTGAAATAATTCAATTTAAGGTTAATTGATTATTACTCCAACTTGGTACATGAATAAGCAATAGTTTTTTTTGCAAACTGTTGGTTGACATGTGACCTTCAAAAATATCAACCAGAAGTGACCTTGAGTAAAACGGAAGTAGGTATTTTTGCACTTATTTCATTGAAAAGTACCTAGAAACTAAACATTTTATTTTAGATATGTACACATAAACCTTTCATTTGTGACAGGAGGTGAATTTCACTTAACCATAAGTACCGAATATCTCCCATTTTACAGGCAAAAGTATATATAAACCATATATTTTTGGATTTAGTGAAAAAAGGAGCTATCATGTGAGACATTTATTTATTAAATCAGTATGAAGAAACCTATGCTTGAACGCCAAATGTAACTTTGAGTAAATCGAAAGTAGCTTCTCATCAATATCTTATAAAATTGATGTGGAAACACCTTCAATTGAACATTTTTTGTTCAATATTTTGTATAATCAGTAATAAAAGAGAAATGGTGAAATAATAATTCACTTTTAGCTACCAGTTTGTTTCAGTTTGTCAAAATGAGATAAAAACATAGCTGATGAATTATTCACTTGCAAGTGAATAATTCGACCTAATTGAATCTGTATTCATGTGAACTTAAATTTAACCCTTTAGCAACAGATGGGTTATATGGATAAACTGTGCATGTTCAGCTATTAAAAGGTAAAGAATTTCAATATTGAAAGTGAAACGAGGGTAAATCATTCTTACACAGATAAAAATTACTTACATACACAATTCACATACTTGATAAACCTTTCATTTTCAGGAAGTAAGCAACAATAAAATATAGAATTTGCACCATTACCAGAGCATACACACTGATTTACACTACAATGTTCAACAATGGATGACTCTTTGTAACTAAATACTACATGCATTACTATTGTGAATGCTTACTGTATAGACAATGTTAACTGAATACAAAATATAACTTGAATACTCCTTGCATGCATAATACATAATGAATATCACTCTGAATATCGTTGAACCAAACAAGACTTTCTAATGAAAAAATTTGTAAGGGTTACGCGGAACCCAATGTCTCGCCTACTTTTGCTGTTAATAGCAGGCTCAACAAAAACCTAGAAAAAAATTTGTAAAAATATTCCTCTTAATACTATCTTTTGATTGTAAGAAGCTTCTGTTCAAGTTTGGTAAAAATCCAGGATAGTTAATGAATCTAATAAATGTTTTAAAAACTTTAACTGCAGACTGCATGTAATGTGAACTGGAAGAAAAACTAAGTCTATTTATAAGTAAAATACGAAAAAATAAGTACAAAATTTTAACAAAATTTCCTTCTATACACTAGCTTTTGATCATAAACAAGCTTTGGTTCAAGTTTGGTACAAATCCAGGATAGTTTAGGAAAGTTATTAAAAATTTTAAAAACTTTAACCACAGAGTGAATATTTGTGGACACTGCCGCCGCCGCCGACCGAATGTAGGATCACTATGTCTCGCTTTTTTCGACAAGAGTCGAAGGCTCCACAAAAAATGAAGATATTTTCTCTGTATTAGACATACAGGTTGGCCTTCAAATAAATCTATATAGAACGTTGGTTTTCACGTTTGAATAGTCATTTTTAGGGCCCTTTATACCTTGCTGTTGGGAATGAACCAAGGCTCTGTTTTGAGACCGTACTTTGCTCTATAATGGTTTTTCTTTTACAAATTGTGACTTGGATGGAGAGTTGTCTCATTAGCACTCATACCACATCTTCTTATATCTATGTATTACTTGTAAAACATATCTAATAACATCAAAGTACTGTAAAATAAAATGCATCATTGAGCGCAGTCTGATACGACCGCAGAGGTCGAACCCTGAACAGTTGGAGCAAATTTGGACACAATATTCAAGCTTTATACTGTCTGAATTTGGATTGTGATCAAATTTTTTACATAATAAAGGTTTCTGACACAAAATAAATGTGGTCAAAGATCTTACAAATTTATTGTGCAATACTGTGCAATTGAAGATTTCTTCTTGAAACTTAAAAAATTCGTAATTTGAAAATTAAAAAAAAAAAAATTAATCCCTTAAAAATTGTAAACAAAAAATCCCCCCCCCCCTCCTTGGAGCAATAACCCCAAAACTTAATCCCAGCCTTTCCTTTGTAGTATGGAACCTTGTAGTACAATTTCAGAGAGATCCATACACTTAAACACAAGTTATTGTCTGGAAACTAGAAAAATGCTTCTTTTTGGCCTTTTTTTAGCCCCTAATTCCTACATGTTTGGGGCAATTAACACCAAACTCAATCCAAGCCTTCCCTTTGTTATATGGAACACTGTGGTATAATTTCAGAGAGATCCATACACTTACACACAAGTTATTGTCTGGAAACTAGAAAAATGCTTGTTTTTGGCCCTTAATTCCTAAACTGTTGGCCCCATAACCCCTACAATGAATCCCAACCTTCTACTTGTGGTATAAAACATTGTGGTACAATTTCAGAGCAATCGAAATACTTATACACAAGTTATTATCCTGAAACTAGAAAAATGCTTGTTTTGGGACCCTTTTGGGCCACTAATTCCTAAACAGTTGGGACCATCATCCCAAAAATCAATCCCAATCTTCCTTTTTGTGGTATTGAACCTTCTGAAAAAATTTCATATAGATCTATTTACTAAAACTTAAGTAATTGTCCAGAAACCAATGTGTCTTCAGACGACAACGACGACACAGACGTCGACAACATCATACCATTATACGATTCCAAAAAAATTTTTTGCAGTCGTATAAAAACTGACATCCAGTCAACCATAAAATATAAGTATTGTAGGTCTGAATGAATACTTGAGACAAAAAAGAATGAACAAGTAAATAAAAGAAAAACTTGATTGAAATAAGTAAATCAACGAGATAGTAACCCAACAACAAAAAAGCCAAAAGATTTCAACACAACAACACTGTCATCAACAACTATTGCTTTTTACATTTCACTCTGTAATAATCAAAGCACGCCTACAATTTAATATTTATTTTTTTTACTAAAATTTATTTAATCCCCAATAACATTTTTCTAAAGTCATCATTTGATTTGCCAGATTGTTCTTTAGATCCTGGCTTTTCATTGGTTGCTGCTGATGATGATTTGGATGAAGATTTTTCATTGGATGAAGCTGCACCTCCTGTCTTTAGTGCCCTTGGTAACAATGACACCTGTGTTCTAGCTTTTCCTCTTCTGAAAAATATATGAGAGAGAAATTATAATGGCTGCAACAAACAAAAAAAGATAGATGCTATACAAGAGTTGTAATGCCTTTCAAGCATAAAAGATCAATTAAGACCACACAATTTCAATGCTGGCAATTTTAGCTAGACAGATTAATGTCAGGTATAGATTGATTGGTATTGATTAACACCACTTTCAGTACTCTTTGCTAATGTAGATTCATTATTATTCCTAGGATACCCATTTTCATAGATTTCTTGGGTATAGGTTAATAACAAATTCAAATGTTCAACAAAGTACAATTTTTGTATAGGGCTTAAATGTAGACTTTTGTAAAACCACAAATAAAATGTACACAAAAATACATATTTTTCCTAATCATTAGAAATCAAATGAAACCAGAGTATATCATGGCAACAAGTTGTTTAAGCCAAGTTCCTGGAGACAACCACTGATCTCAGCAGGAATACTGGCAATTCTAGTCAATAAAGAACAAGAATGTGTCCATAGTACACTGATGCCCCATTCAACTATCATTTTCTATATTCAATGGACTTGAAATTGGGGTAAAACCTCTAATTCGTCATAAAATTAGAAAGATCATATCATATGGAACATGTGTACTAAGTTTCAAGTTGATTGGGCTTAAATTACATCAAAAACTACCTTGACCTTGACTTTAACCTGAAGCAGGAATCACAGACCAGAAAAACATAATGCCTCTCGACTATCGTAGGTGGGGCATAAAAATACAACCTGACAGGCTTTTGATCACTGTAGATGAAACTACATTTACTTAAAAGTATTAGGAACAGCAAAATGTATCAAGTTGGTACTTGTTTTTACATTTAGTATTTTCTTGTCACTTATATGACAGAAAAATGCATGTTATTGTCAGGGAATTTGTTCAGGAAATATTGTCCAGCTAAAATGATCAACAAAACTTTAAATTCATTTCTTAAATAGATGAAAAATAAGACCAATTCTTATTAAGCTGCTCAAAGGCTTATAACCTACAATAACTTGCAAAATTTGGCCGATTTCACAATCAATATTAAAGCTTTAAAGTTTCAACTAATGGCATACCTGCCAACCCTACCGTTTTGAGCGGGAGACTCCCGCTCAAACAGTGAAATTCAGGAAATCTCCCGCTTGCCGGTATCCTCCCGCGCGGGAGTATAGAATCTCCCGCTTTGGGATATTTTAACCTTGAATGACAAGTCAACATTAATTACGTTTTTGTCTCACTGATGAGGGTTGTTTTTACCTGTAAATCACAGTCCATGTGAAATTAAATGGCTTCACTTCACAGCTTGGGTGTCAAACATAGTACTAATTAACGATCATTAACGACTTTTGCTTCAAGCAAAACACTTCAAAGAAATTTCGGGTTACTTCCCCTGTTTAATCCTGTTTTAAGTTACCCTTCTTAAAATAATGTGAATTGATAAAACAATATAAACTAAATACAAATTAAACAAAGAATCATAAAAGGATGGCAATTAAAAGATTTTGTATGCCTTAAGACAAAAAAAATAATTATATTTTAAAAATCACTTAAAAGACCTATACTTCTATTCAATGTTTATATTGAAATTTATAAGATATGTATTGAACCAAATTTAGTGAAATAAATATGTGCACACACAAAATGCACCTGTAACAACATGACTGCCCTCTTATAACAGAGTTATCTGGGGTGAAAATTGTCCGGAAGGGATTCAAATGTCAAAGTTGACGAAATAGAAAAGAAACAAACATCACACCATCTGTAGGATATAACCATATTTAAAGAAACAAAGTATATCTATTAACTCTTATATGTGTTTCGTAGATGAATAAATAAACACGTCATATATTTCACTTGAAAATGTCATTCGCGCAAAATCTCCCCCTCAGCTGTCATAGCTGAGAGGGAGATCTCCCTCTTTGAAGGTTTCAGAGGTTGGCAGGTATGGATTTAGGCCCTGAAATTGTGAAGTTTAAACTCAGCGGAAAATAAATATCTTTCCAGTTTTATATATTAATTTGTAGAAAGCCTTTAGTGTTGAGAATTGAAATGAGATATCTTTGCAAAACAAGCAATCATTCAAAAGCAACAATCTATAAATTACATGGTAGTCATCTGTTGCCCCTTAAACAAAACTGAATGCACACATTGACTTGACTTGAGTATCCCTACTCCTGATTAAAAATTGGACAAAGGTGTCTGACAAACTTGAAAAAACCCTGCAACTCATCACTATTGAGCTTTTGACCAAATTCTAAGTAAATTTTGCTCTTTAGTTTCTGGGAACATTTGTTACGAAAATATTTCCTGGATGGACAGACAGACAAATTATTGCAATGTATCCCAACTCTAAGAGTGCTAGTATAATTACAATATAGATATGATATAAAGGTAAAATATTGGTGACTTACATATCAGTTTCTTTTTTGCCACTGCCCAGACTTGGTATAAACTGATCCTTCTGTGGCCTCCTATCTGGTGGACAACTTATAGCCACAGATATTGTGTGTTCCCCGATTGCCAAGCCATCAGTTTTCATCACAGCTTGTGTGGCTTCATTCTGCACAAAGAAAGAAATTATTGTGTGCATTTATTGTTTAGATTTTTCAAGAATGGACAAAAATGTGAGTTTTATTATAATTGTGATTTTGAAAAAGAAAGTGCATACAGGTCTATAGTTCTGTTATCAGAATGCAAGTTCTTATTATTGTGATACTCAACAAGTCGCATTATCCTCATTTATAAAAGCCTAGCAATAACTTCTGAATTTAAAATAGTTATTTCATTTACCTAAACAATAATAAATTAACTCACATCTTGACAATCATAAGAAACCTTAAACCTTATTTTTATTGTTTGAATTGTACATGTTATTACATTTTGTTGTGTCTGGACCTTGTATAGCTTACTTTTAGGGTATGGGTTTCGCTTATTGTTGAAGGTCGTATGGTGACCTATAGTTGCTAGAAACTAATCCTGAAAAAATGCCATGAAAACTTCATACAATGCCATTAGACACGAAATTGATGAGGAAACCCATATAACAAGGTAAAGTATGCTCACAGTAAGCTTGCTACCAAATATCAGGTTTGTAGTTCCTAATATAGTTTTGATCAAACCTCATAGGACAGACAGACAGACCAGTATACAGTCGACTCCACTTAATTGCATACCACTTAACCCTTACCATGCGGTACCCATCATATGACAGGCGTACCCAGACCACCGTTATTTGGCTCCAATGGCATTCCATACTTTTAGAAGTCAGCTTTATGATACTTATTTCGAAAGTTATGCATGTTCTGTCAACCTGAGGCTATCTATAGTCATGTTTCTCCTGAATAAATTGCATTTTGAGCACAAATACGGACTTGGAAAATTGAAATCGGATGAAACTCGGTTTTCTGGAGGGGTGGGCTACCCTTCTGTGTCTTACACAGGAAGTTCAGAGGCCTAAAATTTGCAATAATAGTGCAAACCCGCAGGCATATAACTACTGATCGTAATTATTATCGAAATACGCATAGGAAACGACTACTTCCGGTTTTGGGTCCATTTGAAGTCAAAAATCGGAAAAAAATCGTGAAATTCCGTATTTTTGATCCAAATGACCTTCTGTAGACTGCTGAACCAAGATCAGATTCACTCCCACCTAACAACTGTTGGAGTCAATTTGTTCACTGGGGTCCACTCTACATGCAGGCTACAGCTAGATACCTTTACCAGCATCCCTGGGCCTTGGGGGTCAAGTCAAAGGACGAAAAATCGTCAAAATTGACGCTTTTTGCACCTGATGACCAACTTTGTTATTCAAATAAAGTTTTAAAACAGTTTCTTCCCTGTTTATATGATCGAATTTGATTTAAAAATTAACCTCAATATCTGCACAGGTAAAGTTTCCCATGTTCAATTTTAAGCCTCGAGGTCATAAAACTGTCAAACAGGTAATTGTTGTAAAAACAAAGACCATTCTATCTCAAAAGGTGTAAATAATTAATTTGATTTCAAACATTGTCCATAGATTACATTTGGGGTGAATTTCAAAAACAATAACGCCTGCTAATTATGGATCATTATCTGATGTGAACTCTCGTAATTGGGTTTGGGGTGATCTGCATTTATGTTAAATATGACAGGGTATTCATATATGGTTAAAGAATTTTATACATCAATCATTTAAAATTAATTTATTTTGAAAAGAGCATTTACTTCTAATTATTATATTTTGTCACTTTCAATACTCGTGTCCAGCAAATAACCCGTACAGGGCCCCGTTACTGCTTTGCATATACAAAACTAACGAAGTTAAATAGTTTAACTTCACTCTGAAAGCTGTAAATATTGTATATCAAAGGCAGTTTAGTACACATCTATTGTTAAAATATTATTAACTGTGTAGTATTGTAAAACAGTATTTTAATCAAAGTGTAACAATGTACATAATTTGTACATACGGGTCATAGAAACAAATCTATTTTTAGAAGGAAATTTTTTTCTTATCCCAGGTAAACTGGTAGGAAACGTAGTTACGCAAATAAACTAAAACAAAATGTGTTTATAATCTTTATTGAAATAATATAAAATAAAATAACATGTATGACACTAGACATATAACTTTTATTAGAATAAATCAACATTCAATATGTTGTAATTGGATCATAGACTTTCATCTTTCTTCAGGGATTTCCTTTACTGATCTGTTCTATCGATGTAATCTGACGCCGTAATTTGGCATTTAGGATATAAGCATACTCCGCTTTATTGCATAATTTTGTCTGACAAATAGGCTATGCAAATAACCGTAATGTACTGTACTAACTACGGGATATTCCACATTCCGGCATTGGAGTCTTTCCCATCATCGTAAGAAGAAGTGTATCATTAATGACAATGCTATTTTGAGTGAAATTATCACACAAAGTCAATCCAATAATGTCGAAAATAAATCTAGTGAGTTAATAAATGGCCTTCTTGGAAATTTTTGTAGCATGTATGCTTTCTTTACATTAAACCATAAATTTACCAAAATACAGTGGATTCATTAATATTCATTGGATACCAATTTTCGTGGATTTCGTGGGAACAGGGGAACCACGAATTTAAATGCTCAACGAATTACAAATTTTCTAAAAAGGAATGTATGCAGACTTTGCCAAAGCCACGAAATTTAATATCCATGAAAATGCAAGTTTTCCTCAATCCATGAAAATTGGTACCAACGAAAATAAATGAATCCACAGTAATAAGTTTTGATACACTCTATATACAAACCTCATTCTCATATTCTACATAAGCTAATCCTTTTGGAGCCCCACTTCTGTATGTTACTAATCTAACATCTTTTAACTTTCCATGCTGAAAGACAAAAAAATAAATACAATTAAAATATACAAACCACTATACCACAGAATATTAACTGTGGTTAACATATAAAATATAACAGAGAGTATGGAACAATGGTATAAAAGTGGATACATTCATAAAATTGAGAATGGAAATGGGAATGTGTCAAAAAGACAACAACCTGACCAAAGAGCTGAAAACAGCTTCAGGCCATCAATTGGTCTTCAATACAGCGAGAAAATCCTGCACCCAGAGGCGTACTTCAGCTGGCCCCTTAACAAAAATGTGTACTAGTTTAGTGATAATGGACATCAAACTAAACTCCAAAATATATAAATGAACTAAAATTAAACAAGAATGTGTCCCCAATACACGGATGCCCCATCCGTACTATCATTTTCTATGTTCAGTGGACCGTGAAAATGGGGTAAAATCTCTAATTTGGCATTAAAATTAGAAAGACTATATCATAAAGAACATGTGTACTAAGTTTCATGTTGATTGGACTTCAACTTCATCAAAAACTACCTCAACCAAAAACTTTAACCTGAAGGGGGACAGACAGACGAACGGACGAACAGACGGACGGACGAACGAACAGACGCACAGGCCAGAAAACATAATGCCCATAAATGGGGCATAAAAACATACAAGACTAACAAAAGCCAGAGGCTCCTTCCTGACTTGGGACAGGCACAAAAATGTGGTGGACTTAAATATGTTTTGTGAGATCTCAACCCCCCTATACCTCTAGCCAATGTATAAAAACAAACACACAGCAATATGCATACTAAAGTAAAATAGAGAAGGCATCCTATATGCAAGTAAATGGCTTCCTTTGTACAGATAAAAAAAAATACCTGTGAGAATATATAAAGAACACCTCCTTTGTACAGATAAAAATAAATTGCTTCGCTGAGCCAAGCTGGGTACGAACGCAAAGGTCCAACCCTGAACAGTTGGAGCAAAAATGGACACAATATTCGTGCTTGATACAGGTCTGAATTTGGATTGTAATTAAATATTTGACATATAATAGGTTTCTGACAGAGAATAACTGTAGTCAAAGAACTTAGAATTGGTTATATGATTTGAATTTTTATTCAATTTTTTGCTATTGTGCAATACACCATGCTGTTGCAAATTGATTTTTATTCACTTATACTAAAGTTATTGTTTGGAAACCAAATGTCTTTGGACAACGTTGTTGACGACAACAACATGATACCAATATACGACCGCAAAATTTTTTGCAGTCTTTAAAACTACCTGTGAGAATATATAAAGAACACCTCCTTTGTACAGATAAATAAAATTACCTGTGAGAATATATAAAGAACGCCTCCTTTGTATAGATAAAAAAAATTACCTCTAAGAATATATAAAACAACGCCTCCTTTGTACAGGTAAATAACTTACCTGTGAGAATATATTAGACAAGGCTTCCTTTGTGCAGGTAAATGGCAGGCCTTTTATAAATAATTTGTTCTTTTCTAAATCTGTAGCAAACTGTAAATAAAACAGAAACATGCATCCTTTATGTAAAATGACTTATCATTATCAGGCATTCACGAGTTGTTACTAATATTATTGTACTTTATGCAGACTTCTTATAGTATCCATTAATTCATTGGACACAGCATTTGTTAATTTTCACTAACCCTTCATAAGCCCCACCCACCCATAGCAACACGTGTCTGATAAAAGGGTCTTCAACAATCAGAAAAATCTACGATTTCTGTTCTCTTTATTTTACATCTTTGAACTTTTGATTAAAATGAATTTTGAAATATAGGTTGGTGAAGTTTATTTTTAGACATTTTATGATTATGTCCATTTGATGTATGCAATGTATGAGGGGCCTGATGGGGGGGGGGGGGGGGTCTCATCACGATTCACGAGTTGATTTTTTTGTCAATCACGATTCACAGAAAATAAATTTCCATGATCACGGATCACGAAAATATAAAAAAAAAATAAATCTGTAGAAAAACGGATCACGATAGCGAAAATGCGCCGATCACGAAGAACGAAAATAACCCATCAGGCCCCTCATGTATTCAATATGGTATTTCAGCTGTGAAAGATTTTCCCACAATCCACACAAATATTCTATTGGTAAATTTCTTACTTTAAACTGTGGTTTTCTGACTGATTTGTCTTCACATCTGGACACATATACTGGTCGTCCATCTAATGGAGTACGATCAAATTTCAATGCTTCTATTACACACAACTATAATAAATATAAAATTATTCAGTATTGACATAATTTTTAACAACAAAAATAGTAGAAAAATATTTTCAATTATTCGTCACACAAACCCACTTGAAACCTGGCAAAGGATCTGGCTTTTTAAATGTTTAATTTCTTTGTGCCATAGAATATCAACATGACTCAATTTGCCCATGAGCTTTAAGGAATTTTTCTTGACATTTAAATGATTTTTTGGAAGCACTGTTCTAAATAAGATTAAATAACTGTCCTTACCTCATCTGGAAATTCTATATATGCGTAGCCTTTGGATCTTCCTTTGAAATTCTTTATCAATCTGACATCCTTTATTTCTCCAAACTAAAAATATGAAAGTGTTAAAGTCACACATTAGTACATAAATTCATCTGTTTATTTCAGGCCTAAAGCTGATTTCAAACTTCAGATTTAAGATAGCAAGTATAATGCTGGCTGTTAAGTCCCATAAGTCCATTCCATTGGCATTATAACATCTTGGCCCTGATTGATTGATAGTCATTTTTTAATGTATGAACATTATCCAATATAATTTCTGAGGAGAAAAGCTAAATTTCTGATTTTGGTAAATTGGTTCTTGCTTATATAAAATCAATAAAAGAGCAGAGTTCCAATGTCCCCATCTTTGCACTTATCTAATATTTCTAAGAGGCATAACTCTTTCAAAAAAAAATGATGGTCCACCATCAGAAAACTTGTCCAAGATATTACTGATATTAACCTATAGTATAAGTTTCATAAAAATCTGGCAAGAATTGTACCAGTGAGAGCGCTAACAAGGCCATTTTCCATAAATTGAATATTTCCAAGGGGCATAACTATTTAAAAAAATAGTTTCAGCCACCATCTTAGAACTTGTCTGAGATATAGCTGATATTAACCTATAGTTTTAAGTTTAAAAAAATCTGGCAAGAATTGTACCTGTCAGAGCGCAAACAAGACTGGTAAGGACTGACGCCCGGTATTTCCATGTCCCCCGCAACACGTTAAACAGGGGACAAAAAAGGAGATGTTGTATGATTGCAGATGAGACAGTTGAAGATTGAATAATGTAGCTCTCAGTAAGCATCTATAGGCTTCTTAAGAAAACTTCATAGAACAGAAATATTGAATTTCATTGGCACAAAATTAAATTTTTTAATCATTATAATTTTTTATCGATTACATATTTATTTTGTCAGGTAAAAAATAAGATAAAAAATACCTGTGAAAACGTGTCTTTAATGTTATCCTCATCTACATCATAAGCCAGATTACTAACAAATGCTGTACATGAACTCTTGTCTGGTCCCACATCACCTTGACCTTCGTGTAATCTGTCATCTCCATCTGTAAATTATCACTTAACTTAGCACCAAATCTCAATACACCATTTTCATGTTACCAACTTTTGACGCCGGAATTATATTTATATTTTTTTTTGACAGGTTATCCTCTCTGTGGTTGGACATCCTGGTAGTCGGTCAGACAAGAGCAAAGTAAATAAGTAAATTCAAGATTTTAACAGGTACAATTTTGAGGGAAAGTTTACCGTTTAATGCTTTCTATACATGACTAAATCATCCGAAAGCAGTAAACTTTCCTCCCAAATTGCACCGTTTATATATTTGATTTTACTTCTTTTGGTTGCTCGTAATTGACTGAGTACCAGGATGTCTTACAACAGAGTAGGTAACCTGTCGAAAAAATAGAGAAACAAGTATCAAAAGTCAGTAATATGAAAATAGACTATTGCTTTTATATTTTTAGAACAACTCTGTTTATACTTTCTGATTGGTCCTTAACATAGCCAATGAATTCAAAAGCTAAATTTCTAGCTTGAGCATTCAAAGCAATGACCTATTGTTTGTAACTCTAATGGAAGAACTGTAAGGATTTTGTGTCATTTATTCATGTACATCATTTTTAACACAATAATTTGTATCTGTATAAATTAATAGGAACTAGTCAACAATGATTTCAAAGAATGAGAAATGAGTTGAAAATCTAAGAAAAACCTTTTATATAGATGGCAACATTATCAAATTGGTTAAAAATTAAACACTTTTCTACTGCTATCAAAAGTGGAACTTCTTTAAAATATTTAATACCAGTTTTTTGTACTTTAGCTGGTGGCTCTTCACCCTCAGAACTTTTTCCTTTAAATCCGGGAGGTGGTTCTGTAACCCCAGCCTTGTGACCTTTGAAACCTGGTGGCGGCTCTGACTTTTTTCCTTTATACCCTGGTGGTGGTCCTGACTTTTGACCTTTGAACCCAGGAGGAGGTGGTACTTTGAATACTGATTCTGAAGATTGATCGTTTTCTGCCTGTTAGAAATATTTAAATTTATATTGATTGATTGTTTGTTTAAAGTCACTTTCAGCACTGTTCCCAGAGAGAACCTTGACTCTCAAAAAAGAAAACTGACAATCCTAGTCAATTAAAATTGAAGCCAAACAAACTACCATGTGCAGGGTATCGAACTAGCAACCTCAGTGTACATACAGTACATTAAACACATGAACCACTTGGCCACCAAGGTCCTACATTATTGTTTGTTTATTCTCTTATATATAAAAAAAAAAATTTTCCATTGTGTATCGTTCAAAATGAAAGGGGTAACATTTAATTATTCTAATATGCCTTGCTCATAAAAAGTTTAAAATAAAACATTTCAAACATTATGGAAATGTTAAGCATGATTTAGGTCAATGGAATCACCAGTCCGCCTACAGTGAACATGATATTTTAGAGCTGATAATTCAAATATTTAATGGATTAAAAAAAATAAACATGAGAAATGATATTTTTACACATAGAATTTACGACGACTTTCTCACCTTCCTTTTCAACCCATTGCTTGCCTTTTGATCTTCATCCAATGAAATTCTTTCACTTGTATCGTCACTCTTTGTCTCTTTCTTCTGATAAGGTTTGACGAACACTTTTTCACCACTATCATAACTACAATTTTGTCTTTTATCAAATTTAGTTTTTTTGTCTTTTTTACTAAACTGTTGTTTCTTGTCAGTATGATGACCTTTGTCCGTATGATGACCTTTGTCAAATGTTTTCTGTTGTTTTTTCCCTCCTTTTTGTTGGAATTTGGATTTCTCTACTTCTTCTTTCTCTGCTGCCTAATCAATAAAAATAGGTCAAGGTCATAGTATTATTAGTTGGCTTTCGTCTGAAAGACATGTAAATATTAGGACGATTCTTTGACCAGATATAGATAAATTACTTCCTATTATAAAGGAGAATCTAGATTAAGCAGAAAAAAATTATTTCAATTTTGTCAGTATGTCCACACTTGTAGTATAATTGCTAAAAGCATATTTCTGGGAACTCATACGAAAGGTTAAGTGTCACTAGGATAACAATGACAAAATGTTCACAAGTTAATAATGTGGTTTATATGCCTAAACTGAGAAATTATATTTATAATTGGAAATGAAAAATTTAGATAAAAAAAAAGTTTCAAACCAGAACTAAGAGGAAAGTTAATCTGTAAGTCATCATTAATCACTAGTGTACCAAAAATCTGATAATTATCTGCAGAGTAGACCACCTATGCTATGAATGTGGAATAATAGCAAAAAGTGACAATAATGATCAGTTAAAGGTATTACCTGCTTTTAATTGAACAGCCCTTACCTGTTTTCTTCTCTCCTTGATTCTGTCCATCTGAGCATTACACTTAGCTAAAGCCGATTCATATTGCTCCAAATCACCTTCAATTCAAGAAATAAACTATTGACACAGAGATATGTCTCGCCTAGATGTTATTTTGATAGAAATATGCAAATGTTGAAATGAAAAATACAAATCTTATGATTAAAAAATGCAAAACTTTTAAAGTCAATTGACCATGTCTGAGGGGGCGGGGCCAAATAATCTCCATTAAATTAACTCATATAATTTCAGTCGGTTGATTTCATGAATTAGAATGAAATAATTTTCTTCTGAATTGTCTGCCCATAGATGGCGTTTTAGGTTACATGTTTTGTGTGATTTGGCTGTTAAATCATTCAGCACAACAGGGTCTACTCAATAGGTCACGTTTATTTTTATATCCATGCTATTTGATATTTTGTATCATGCATTTAGAGATTGATTGATTTACAAATGATTGTGTTTATTGAAATACATATATGATGACATTTCGAGCTGATTCATAATTTGTATATGATAAATATTATGAAATGGTTGTTATTAAAGCATGCAGCCCTCAGCACTGTCGTGTGGTATTGCACTTTACTGTTATTATCTGTGGTTGTGATATATGGTTGTTAACTGAGAATATATAAGGTATTGATGATTGGACAATTTTAACTGCTTTTATATATCTTTATCAAAAATATTTTCTGTTCATACCTTCCTCTCTTTCAAAATTAATAAATGCATCCACAATACTCTCAGGCCAATCTGATACAGAGTTAAGTGCCCTTTGTAACAATTTTCTGCAATGTTTATTATCACCATAGCACCTACAAAATAAATACAGAGTTAAGTGCCCTTTGTAACAATTTTATGTAATGTTTATTATCCCCATAACTTCTACAAAACACATATAGAGTTAGGTCCCTTTTTCGTGGGCATCAAGTTTTCGTAGATTGAGGAAAAATTACATGTTCGTGCACATTTGTTTTCATGGTTTTGCTGAAGTCTGCATACAACCCTATAGACAATTAGCATTTCATTTTAACATCTTAATTTGGTTTATCTCTGCCTATGAAATCCAAGCAAATTTGGTATCCCACATTAATGTATCACCAGTATATTTGCTATAGACAACACCTTTCCCACCTTTATAATGAAATCATCAATTCACATCTAACATCACTTTACTCTTCTAAAATAAAATAGAAAGCAATGACAATTGTGGATCTCTGGAGAACATTAGGGGTCATGATTTTAGCTTTTTGATAGACAATGATACATCTTTCTCTAATTTTTGTGTTTTTTTCACATTTCTCGAGCAGTGTGAGAAAAATATTTCTTATCACTAGTGAAATATCTGTTCTCAGCAAATGATTGTTCAAAATTTAAATATGACATTAAATTTTCCTATTGTGACGTACTGAAAATGGGCAACCATGTCTGATGACGTCGATGCATTACGTTTGCGCACATTGCCATTACATTTGCGCGCAAAAATCATTACGTTTGCACGCAGCTTTTGATTACAATTGCGCGCATTTATTTGACAGGTAAACTCAGGTAAGCTCAGGTAATAATACTTATTTATTCATAAATTTATTCAATTATTTTTAAGTAAAAGTACCCTTTCCGTTAGTCTAAGTCACCTTCTCACCCACATGGAGGTGGAAGTAGGATTCAAGCAGGATTAGTCGGTTGCATTATATTCTATCAATACGAATAGTTTTATATTCATCATATACTAATGATTTCCCTCCCCCCGATTTGCTATAAAAAAAAACCTTCAACTGTTCGTGCGTTGACAAAACTTTACAAACTAACTTAAATTATTTACGAATTTAAAAGAGATCACTATTCGGGGTACTTGTTTACCCTGACAAATTTGCAATGAAGTTACATGTATGCTCTAAGTTATAACGGAATTTATCATGAACACTTTATATTTTGTCTTAGAATTCAATATAAACAATATATAATTAAAATATATTTTCAAAGTTAATGATTTTTAGTCATATCTAATATGAAAATTATAGTCATTTATATTTTATTATATTCCCTTTTTTACCTGAGTTTACCTGTAAGATAAATGCGCGTAAATGTAATCAAAAGCTGCGCGCAAACGTAATGCGCCCGATGACATCACTTATAAAGAACACAACTTTCTGCAAATCTTTGAAAAGGAAGGATACAAATCATAAGAGAAAAAGATTCCACCACTTTAACTTGAGTATTGAGATATTTCCCCACTCTCAACAGTTAAATATAAGACTTGCTCTTTAAATATTAAATTTAACTGTCTCAAGTGGAGAAATATAGTAAGATACTTGTAGCAGTTGTGGAATCTATATTTCTATAATTTTACAACAATCACAAACCTCTCAAAATGATAAAAGTTGAGCCACATGGCGGCTTCATTTCCGTGGCCTTCTGTCATGATTTCATTCCATAATTCTCTACCTTTGGTCACATTTTTACAATATCTAGCCTACAAAAAATGAGACAATATCTAGTGAGTCAAGATAGCTTCAATTCGAGGACAAAAAATTCAAAGTTGACAAAAAGATTTTTTTTTTTAATAATTTCATATCACCTTATCAATATTTTAAAATCCACTTCTCAAGTGATACAAAACTACTCTAAAGATAATTTTGTCAAATATGGAAAAGAAGACTACTTTAGGCCCTACATGTTTTTCAAATTTACAATGCTAACAATCCCCTTTTCCCCCAATAACACTTTTTCTCTTATGAAAAGCATGGTGTTTGCCATTGTTAACCTTTATACTGTATAATGACATTAATAAATAACCTGACATTTATTTGTTGATTTACATACAATCTGTAGACATATTGAGAAGTCAACTTTTTTGAAATATTATATTAAATATTGCACCCAAAATGAATCTCAAATGAAATTTTCTGCTAATTTTTATAGATTGTCTTTGTGGAAATAAACAATGAAATCAAATATTCAAAGAAAACTATTTTTCAGATTGTTTGATAAACTAATATCATCTGGTGTCAAGAAAATTATAAAATTTAAAGAGTTACAGCTTTTCTATAAAAGCATGCGAAGCAAATCTTTGGTCAACTTGCTTGCTATGTTTGTTTGGATGTTTGTAAACAGCAGGTAAGTAGTCTGTTTCAGTCTGTTTACTATATACTGGAATTTTATGGACAATAAACATTAACTTCATTGCAAGGTTAAGTTCCACATCGTATGTCAATTTTTATTGTCCTATCAAATCCCAGTATATAGTAAACAGACTGAAACTCCGCCTACCTATTGTTTGCAAACAACCAGGCAAACATAGCAAGTTGGTCAAAGTTCTGTTTCGCATGCTTTTATAGAAAAGCTGTAATAGTGTATTTACTGACCTCAATGGTAGCCCAGAACTGCCTCAGACTTCCAGTGGGATCTCCGTCAGGTATGGTATCTGAAAACATACAAGTAGTCATGATAAATCAGATTATATTGTACCTGTCAGGTATAGTATCTTAATGGTCATGATAAATCAGCTTATATTGTACATAAATAGAGAATATCATATGGCTTTTTCAATATCACATCTGTATCAACCCGAGACAACAATATAATCCCAAGAGCTCTGCTCGAGGGATTATATTGGTTGAGGGTTGATACGGTATGTGATATTGAAAAAGCCATATCATATACACTTTATTATATACATGTACCTCACGTAGATGTTTTTATGTGACATGACGTCATACAGATAAGGGGATTTGAAATGACGTTATACAGTTTGACATGACGTCATACAGGTTAGGGGTTTGATAAAGCCTTTGCAACAGTGACTGCAATCGATGACGTAACGTCATACAGATTAAAGGTGTGATAAAGCCTTTGCAACCGTGCTGATGTCGATATCATCACGGGTGGCTGATACAGCACGCTTGCCAATGACTGTATTACACATACAATTCATCTGTATTTTCTATTAAGTATATAATAAAGCTTAATATTGCTTGTTTGCACATGGATAAAATGTTACAACAACCCAATTAATGAGTACTTGTTTTTTTCAATAGGTGTCTGTGCCTTTTATAATGTGTCTTGTTTTGACTGTCAGATTGATGTGTATGTCTTCTTTTGTTTTTCTTTTTTGGTTAAATATTTATCAATTACTTGAATTCATGGCAATTATAAGATGTCTGGTTTTAACCATTGGATGTTCATGTCTTTTGTAAATTGTTTGTTTTAATTGTTCACATATACTATCATGTCTTTTAGAAGTTATCTTGTATTAGTAAATGCTCCATGCTTTATAGTGGAAAAGCAGCAAATACCAAGAGATATAAGGTGAATTACTGTGGATTTTAATCTTTTTCATGGGTATAATGTTTTTTGTTGATTTAGGAGAAAATTTATATTTTCACGGAAAACCCTATAGGAAATTTGAACTTAATTCATCATTGAAATTTATGAATCACCTTTTCCTACGAAAAAAAAAAATCACAAAAATACTGAACCTTATCAAATGCAAAATCAAAAGTTCAAACACATCATTGTTTTAAATGAAATCCTTTTCCATTAATAATAATGAATCATCAGTAATCAATATATCTTTTTTCTTATATCACAGCAAACATTTGTGACCTTTACCTTTATCCAATCTGACCTTTACTTACATAAATGTTCTACTGCCTTTTCAATGTTTGCTCTAAATAAAGTTAGTTGTTCTTCATGATCTGTAATAAGGTAAACAGAAAATATCAGTTATATTTTTGTTGTTTTCGGAGAGCATTTCTGTATTTATCTTCATCTTAAGTCATTAGAATTAATTAATGTATTTTTAAATGTAGAGGTGTAACAATAAAGTTGAAATAATTTCAGTAAATATTGCGCTCCATTTCATGATAACTTCCATCCATACAATGATACATGCTATACACCATTTTTCATGTTTATATCATATTCGTAATTCAAATCACTGCTAAGAGCCAAACCATCACTTAAATGTTTGATTCAGCTTCCAAAATTTAATATGGATGTGGGTGGGTAGGAAAGCACTTCCCAAATTCCAATACAACAAACATACTTTGGTTTTTTTTCACACATCAAATAAACACAACAGTCATAAATGACCTATGGAGAATGACTAAAAAAAAACATCCCTTTTTCTCTCCCATATTTATTATTAGAATATAGCCTTTTATAGCTTGCTGTTCCATGTGAGCCAAGGCTCTGTTTTAAAGGCCATACCTTGACCTATAATGGTTTACTTTTATAAATTGTGACTTAAATGGCAAGTTGTCTCATTGGCACTCATACCACATCTTCTTATATCTACTAACATTTGATTGTAATCCTTTATTAATTACCTTCATCCCATAGTATCCATCTTCTCAAGTAATCACAGTAGGTTGTCCAGATTTGTAAATAACTTCCTCCTTCTGCAAAACCACAGGACAAAGCTCGGTCCACTGTACCTGAAAAAAACACACCATTATAAATTATTCCAGCACCCTTAAAGGTAATCATCTTACATAATATATGTTATTAGACAAAATACCTTTGGGGAGTTACATTCACATGGTGAATGACAGTCTTGATTTCCAGGGCCCTTCATACTTAGGGGAGATATATTCACATGGTGATGGCAGTCTTGATTAAGAGGGCCCTTTTAATGAAGAAACCAATTATAAATTGGAATTTTAATTTTGATTGCATTTTTTAATGCGGCATATCCTGAAATGAAAATAAATAATCTTACCTTTTTGGCAATTGTTCAAAATTGACAATAATAAATGCAGTTGTACTCAAACAGTAACTGGAAAGAAACATACCATTACTATGTGCCTCTGTGACAAAAAGGGGAGACAATTACCTTTTATTGTTTGATGAGATTTTTTGGCTCTTTCTAATGTTAACAAGTAGTCACTCCACAACTGGGAACACCATGGACAATTCCTCACTGATCGTTCAAATACAGGAATTGATAATGTTTCATCCCTCAACTTTGCATCCTTAAATTACAGAAAAGATTATTCAAAGACATGAATAGATGAGACATCAGAATATTCAATCTCATCAAAAGATGTGTCATCAGATTATTCATACACATGACAAGATATATAATCAGATTTTTCAAATACACAAATAGATGTGTCATTAGATTATTCAAATACACAAATAAATGATTCATCTGATTAACCAACTACAAAAATAAAGATTTAATCAGATCAAACAATTTTTTACATGATGGCAATTCAAACATAACAAGAGGCTGTCAGACAGCAAACCGGATTTTCCTGCAGAGGTCAGACCCTGAACAGTTGAGCAAGTATGGACACTACATTTAAACTTAAAACAGCTCTGAATTTGGATTGTGATTGAATATTTGACACATCATAGGTTTGTGACACAAAATGAATGTAGTCAAAGAACTGATATATTTGAAATTGGACATTTAATTACCTATTATGGTCCAATATCCAAAATCTAAGTACATATTAGAATCAGCATATCAAAGAACCCCAAGAATTCAATTTTTGATGAAAACAGACAAAAGTTTAATCTAGGACCCTTTGGACCTCAATGTGGACCAATTTGATAAAGGAGCCCACAATCCAAAATCTCTCAATACATGGTTAGATTCAGCATTTCAAAGAACCCCATAAATTCAATTTTTGTTTAATCAAACAAAGTTTAATTTTGGACCCTGATTTGGACCAACTTGAAAACTGGACCTAAAAATCTAATATTTAAATAGAGGTCCTAACTACACACTAATTTTGGCCAACCAAATTAGACTCAACTCAAATATGCATTTTGCCGTGCAGACAGACTGGAGCCAGCATTTAATCAAATTTTTAATCCAATACAACAATACAATAATCTCATATACATATGCAAACATCATATAACACAGTAATAGTATCTATACTAAGTAATTTACACGCAACTTGGTGAACAAAAAAATATACTTCCGGCAACAATAGTAATAAATATCTATTAACTTCCAAGAACATTCCAAATGTTAAATATCATATTATGAATACCCGTCATAAACGGACACTCGCCGCCCAGGAAAAACCAAATAGTTTGGAAACCTGCGTCACGGAGCAATGCAAGAACCGTTTCTGGATAATGATGCCGTACTTCATCATGATTATGATAATATAAAAAGACAAATTTTTATATAAAACAGGAAGTTTTGACTGTACGATGTCTACGGCAAGAATGACCACCTAAACAATTTTTTCATGAACCCGCGAAAAACAAATTAGCATAACAAAACGTTAGGTCACCTGACCTATCAAATCATACATCATTGACCCATACAAAATATGATAGAAACTTTAAGACAGTATTTTTCCGCTATACTGCGAAACGCTGAAAAATATATTTTAGATTCAGCATTTGAAAGAACCCTATATATATATTTAATTTATGTTGAAATGAAACACAGGTTAATTTTATCCATAATATTTTCTGTGCAAATGAAAATAACTCAAACTGGATAAATAGTTCTCTAAAATAAGATATGATGCAATTTTTCAAATTATAATCAATAATATAATAACAACAACCAGTGATGACCAAGTTCTCTAAAATTAGAACATTGTTAGAATCAGCATATCAAAGAACCAAAGAATTCAATGTTTGATGAAATTAAACAAAAGCTTAATTTAGGACCCTTTGGACCTCAATGTGGTATTACATGTATCTTATTAATAATGAAAAGCTTGACCGTTTACAAGTTCTTAAACAGGAGGGGGGTGGAGGTGACCCAAGGGGACTCGCCTTATATTTCATTTGATTTGTTTTATTGTCCCATACAAAAATATATATGGTTTTGGGGTGGGGATCTTGACCATTTACAAGTTTTCAAAAAAAAGGCGGGTGGGGGTTACCCCAGGGGACTTCCCCTCAATTTCAGTTGATTTGTTTTATTGTCCCATTCAAGAATATATATGGTTTAGGGGTGGGGATCTCGACCGTTTACAAGATAAAAGCACATTCTCAAATTGAAGGGGGGTGGGGGTAAGAATATATATGGTTTAGGGAGACTTAATTATCTACAAAATGTCTAATAATGAACAGTAAATTTCAAACTTCATTTATACAGTCCTACTAGTAAATTTCAAACTTTATATATACAGTCCTACAGATCTTATCAGGAAACAGAAACTTTTCAAATAAATCTGTCACTCCAATGATTATCATATGCTAAGATATAACCCAGATCTAATTAATAATTAATAATGTAATAATCTTCAAAATGTCTAATAATATAGCTTATAATCATAACCACTTAGTAAAAGTTTCAAACAATTTACCAATGATATTTTGCCAATAACTCAAATGTATTTCCATGAACCAGTAACAAAACACCAAAATAATTCTCTAAATTAGATATGACTTAACCACTCATAAATCTCTAAAATTAGATATGATTTTATATCTATCAATTAAACACATCACTTTTCGAAACAAATAACTCAAACTTATTTCCATAAACCAGTAAAAAACCAGCAAAATACTTCTCTAAAATCAGATATGATGTTATATCTATTTCCATATTATAATCAAATTTAATTAATAGTTGGTAATATTGTTTCTTTCATGTGTCAAAAAATAATACAGATCTGCAACTTATCTATCAATGTCAAAAACTTTATCTCATAATAAAAATAGATTATTATCTAATTAAAAACAAGTTCAGATTCAGCACTTGAAAGAACCCTATATATATTTAATTTATGTTCAAATATAACACACAAAAACTGATTAATTTTCCCAGGGACCTGCCCTTTATTTCATATGATTTGTTTTTTGTCCTATACAAGGATATATATGGTTTAGGGGCGGGGATCTCCACCATTTACAAGTTCTTAAACAGGAAGAAGGTGGGAATGACACCAAGGAACACACCTTTTATTTCATTTCATTTGTTCTATTGTAACATACAAGAATATATATGGTTTCGCGGTGGGGATCTTGACCGTTTACAAGTTTTCAAAAAAAAGGAGAGTAGGGGTTACCCCAGGGGACTTCCCCTAAATTTCACTTGATTTGATATATTGTCCCATACAAGAATATATATGATTTCTGGGTGGGAATCTTGACCGTTTACAAGTTATCAAAAAAAAAGCGGGGTAGTGGTTACCCCAATGGACTTCCCCTATACTTCATTTGATTAGTTTTATTGTCCCATACAAGAATATATATGGTTTAGGGGTGGAAATCTCAACCGTTTACAAGTTTTCAAAAAGAAGGGGGTGGGGTTTACCACCGTGGACTTCCGTTAAATTTCATTTGATTTGTTTTATTGTCCCATACGAGAATATATATGGTTTAGGGGTGGGGATCTCAACCGTTTACAAGTTTTCAAAAAGAAGGGGTTGGGATTTACCCCCGTGGACTTCATCTATATTTCCTTTGATTTGATATATTGTCCCATACAAGAATATATATGGTTTCTGGGTGGAAATCTTGACTGTTTACAAGCTATCAAAAAGAAGGGGGTGGGGGTTACCCCAATGGACTTCCTCTATATTATATTTGATTTGTTTTATTGTCCCATACAAGAATATATATGGTTTAGGGGTGAGGGATCTTTACCATTTACAAGTTCTTAAACAGGAAAAAGGTGGGGGTGACCCCAGGGGACTCGACTATTATTTCATTTGATTTGTTTTATTGTAATATACAAGAAGAAAATGGTTTCAGGGTGGGGATCTTGACTGTTTACAAATTTTCAAAAAAAAAGGGGTGGGGGGTTAACCCAGGGGACATCCCCTAAATTTCATTTTATTTGTTTTATTGTCCCAAAAAAGATTATATATGGTTAAGGGGTGGGGATCTCAACCGTTTACAAGTTTTCAAAAAGAAGGGGGTGGGGTTTACCCTCGTGGACTTCCCCTAAATTTTACTTGATTTGTTTTATTGTCAAACACAAGAATAAATATGGTTTAGGGGTGGGGATCTCAACCGTTTACAATTTCTCAAACAGAAGGGGGTGGGGGGTTACCACAATGGACTTCCCCTATATTTCATTTGATTTCTTTTATTGTCCCATACAAAAATATATATGGTTTAGGGATGGGGATCTCGCCCGTTTACAAGTTCTCAAACAGACACGCTGGGGTGACCCCAGGGGACTCACCTTTTATTTCATTTGATTTGTAATATACAAAATTAGTTTATACTAAATAACAAACAAACCTGCCAAAAAATTCTTTAAATAATTTTACAAAGAATGTCTTTTAAAAAATGAGTTATCTCCCTTTGTACAGAAATATGGTTTAACATAGTACTCTAACATTAGATATGGTCCAGAGTTATGGTCCATAACTCTGGCCAAAATCATCAGACCGGAACAAAATTCGAACTTGATCTATAACTCGTCATGATAAAACTATATACCAAATATCAAATCAATATCTTTAAGAACGAAGAAAAAAAGTGTGGAAAGCTGATTTGCCGGACTGACGGATGGACAGACGGACGGACAGACAGACGGACGGAGTGCAAACCTAAAGTCCCCTCCGACTTCGTCTGTAGGGGACTAAAAAGGAGGGTAGCTGTGAACCTGAGGACTATCCCAATATTTCATTTGATTTGTTTTATTGTCCCATACAAGAATATATATGGTTTAGGAGTAGGGATCTCGACCGTTTTCAAGATAAAAGCACATTATCAAATTGAAGGGGGATAGGGGTAAGAATATATATGATTAACGGACACTTAATTATCTACAAAATATCTAATAATGAACAGTAAATTCCAAACTTCATTTATACAGTAATACTAGTAAGTTTCAAACTTTATATATACAGTCCTACAGATCTTATCAGAAAACAGAAAATTTTCAAATAAATCTGTCACTCCAATGATTATCATATGCTAAAATATTTCCAAGATCTAATTAATAATGAAAATAAATCATTATCATATGCTAAAATATTTATAATATCTAATTGAACGGAACTATGGTTGTTTAACATAGTACTCTAACATAATTAATAATGTAATAATCTTCAAAATGTCTAATGATATAGCTTATAATCATTACCACTTAGGAAATAGATAATTTTCAAATAAATCTGTCACTCCAATTTTTATTCTGAGATAAGATTAATCATCACATGATAACAACAGTAAAATATTTAAAAATTCTACTTTTGGATATTGAAAATGGCGATAACTCACAAAGGAGATATACTAAAATCTTGAATATTAATAGAGGTCTTCATTAAGTCCCAGGAAACAACCTATTTAAATTTGAAAAAAATTTGTTAAACCGTTTTCATGTTATTGTGCTGACACTGTTTGGCAGCCGCCCGTAGAACCGCCCAGCCGCCATTTTAATAACCGATATTTCCTTCGAAAATCCGGTTAAAAACAGATAATAGGTCACTCTTAATTATGTGCAATTTTGGTAGGATTCTGTAGGTCATTTATTGTGATTTTACTTTATAAAGGAATAAACAAAGTGTGACACCTCCAACAACAAAGACAACAGAAAAGATCCCTATGTGTAGTAATAGGCAACATAAAACATGTATCCATAAGATTTGATTGATTTGATTTTTGGTGTTTTAACGCCACTTTTAAGCACCGCTTTTGGGCTATTTCGTGGTGGCCAGTTTTTTTTGGTGGAGGAAGCCAGAGTGCCCGGAGAAAACCACCGACCTTCGATAGGAAAACTGACAATCCTAGTCAATTAAGATTGGAGTCGAGTGCACCTGCACGCGCGGGGTTCGAACTCAAAATCTCAGTGTTGACTAGCTAGTGATTAAAGTAGTAACTACTTAGACCACTCGGCCACCGATGCCCCTGTATCCATAAGAAGTATTATACTCACCAAGTACTTAGTATAATTAATCCAGACCTCTGGTTCTAGACAGTTTTCTTGGACAGATCTTTCATACAGACATATAACTCTGGCTGCAGTTCCATGTGATATCTCATAATCTATATATGATGTGTACACCTCTTTCTTATCTTCTTTTGTTAACTAAAACACAAATGATGAATAAACTAGTTATAAGGACAAAACATATCCAATTTAGAATGATTCAAAATCAGTAAAAGTAATCATGAAATCATTAAAATATATTCAATGTTATTATGATAACTGTTAATTCTGATTCTAATATGACATGCTTCTTCCTTCTCTTTGTAGACAACACCATGATAAAATTCTCAATATATCTTTACTTGGCGCAGACTGAGAGATGTGCACATTGGTGGCTGTATTTACCTCCCATGTAAATCCACATGTTTCAAAACCTATATGCAAACACTATTTGATTTCATTGTGTCCAATTTGAAATTGAAAAAACAACAACAGAACCGTTGTTCCTATTCTAATGCATAACAAAAAGAATTATTGCGCAAGAGCATAAAAAACGTATAAAATCAAAATAAAAAAAAAATTCACAAATTTCATGAATGATCTCTGCACATTAAAGTAGTGTCATAAAATGACTTTATATGAATGAAACTCTCAAGCTGAAGGTTATCCATTACATATGCACTATAAATTCGGATAATATTACATTAAAATGGAGTTTAGAGGTAGGTGTTGTTTTATTTTCTGTTCTGATGCATTATCACACATTTGGGGATTTCAGCAGGTCAACATGCTAGCGCTTAGGATGAAATTCGAATATCATGGCTCGGGCAATGTGTAAATGTCCAACAAATCTATGGCTTCCATGAATAATTTCTTAAATGAACCAAAGGACAAGGAAGTTAACAATTCACCATTTCAGAATCTAATGCATTCTGGGTAGAGGTTTCAGATACATACATCAAAATATGATTGGATAAAAAACATCATAAACAATGCAATTCAACCAATAATGGCACTTTATGAAAAGTACTTTAGCTGTGTTTTCAATATTTTAACAAAATATGAGGTTAAATTTGCAGCATGCAGCAAAAATTAAGTAACCTTTTAAAAGTTAAAGCCCTGCCTATCTATTAACTGCAGATGTCAATCTTAATTACAGTGCTTGGGAAAACAGTTGTAGAAATTAAACAGCTGCGCCATGAGTGCATGATACGTCCGTCGCATTTTCAAAGAATTAAGTTCAATAACTTCTCAATCTCATATCAGAAACTTATGAAAATCAAAAGGGAGCTTAAATGAATAGATAAGTTTCATGAAAACTGCTGAAAGAATTTTTAAGTTATTGTCCGAAAACTGGAATATCCCCCCTTTTTTATGAATAAAACCCCATAACTAGGAAACGTAAAATCTAACATTTATAAAAATCAAAAGGGAGCTCACGTCAATAGATATAAACAATTCACCAAAATTTATGCAAAATTGGTTAAAGCAATTTTGAGTTAATATCCAACATGTTGACAACGGACGGACAGACGGACAGAGGAACAGACAGACAATGGTATACCATAATACGTCCCGTAAACGGGTGTATAAAGGATCTTTTTCAAATGGATCTATTTTCATAGTTTAACCAAGCCACCTACCAAATCTTTTTCATACGGTTGTATTTTCTTGTAGTATTCCAAAGCTTTATGGAACTGTTGTTTAATCTGACTATCTATTTCACCCTGCAACCATTCTTTATACTCTGTAAAACTCTCTTCCATGTCTAAAATTAACAGATACACCGTGGAGTCATTATTTGTCAAATACTCAAAATTTTTAGGTCAAGGTCAATCAACAAATTTTCAAAACCGATTCAAAACAAAGTGACAGAAAAACAGATAGAGATTTCAAATTAAAGAAAAATAACCCAGCTACATATTTATGTGTGTGACCGACTTTTGACTCCAGAATTGATATTTGTTCCACAGGTTACCTTCTTTGTGGAAGGACATTCTGGTACTCGGTCAAGCAAGAGCAACGTAAATAAGTAAATTCAAGATTTTAATCAGTACAATTTTGAGGGAAAGTTAACTGTTTAAATGCTTTCTTTACATGACCAAATCATCAGAAAATTGTAAATTTCCCCCCAAATTGCACCTATTATATATTTGATTTTACTTTTTTGGCTGCTCATAATTGACCTAGTACCAGAGTGTCCTACCACAGCGTAGGTAACCTGTCGATAATTGTAGAACCCGGTGTCAAAAGTCTGTAATATGAAAATGGTAAATTAAAATGTCTTTTGATTGTCATGTGTTGTCATTGAGGTGTTGTCTCGCTAATATTTACCTTACATCTCCTTTTATAATTAATACATCTTCATTATAAATTGATAAAGCTTGTGGTATACTTAATTGTTTGGCAGCTTTCTCACTAAAGTATTTATAATTATGTTGTACATCAACAGATAAACATACCATTTAATGGAACTGACAATTGTCTTTTAAACAAAGTCATTATTCTTTTATGTTGTACATCAAAATCATCTTCCTGCTGTTTAGTAGCTACTTGTCCTGGGGCAGGCTGAAAGTAAAAAATGTTATTCATTAAAATCGACTTCCTACTTTTCCCTTTATATGTAAATTTAAATTAAAATTGTATTCATATTAGATATCTTAACTGACTTTGTACTGTTTTTGTTCTAAGGCAGACTGAAAGTTGTATCTATGTTGAGTATAAAGACAAATTTTGTTGAAGTGCAGAGGCAGACAGCTATTTTTTTATTCATGTTGTTCCAAAAGAAAAAACTATGTGGCGTGTCACCAATTTGTTTTCTTAATACAATATGCTTCAGACAGATCAGTTTCACCTCTTATTACATATGCATTTACACTAGCAATAAAAAACTGAAATTGTTTTTGAGAAGAATGCTAATAAAAGGAAGATAACTTTAATTACCATAACGCCCATCAAGATGGCATTTTCAAACTCTCTGTAAGCCTCCCATAAACTGGATCCATGTGCAACATGTAAACCAGCAGAAGACAAAGCTTTTTCAAACACCTCCCTGATCTTGATCACACCATCCTGTGATGCCATTCCACCAATGGAGAACTGTACGTATTCCAGCCATATTTTAACAGCTGAGGAAAAAACATACATCAGCATTTATAGTTATTTTGGTCAATGATTTTTAGATCAGAGAATTATATTTTAATTGTGCCATAATACTGGAGGGTTTAATTGGTTTGGATGGGTATTTAACTGACATTAATTAGGCCGTTAGTTTTATAGTTTTGATTGTTTTACATTTGTCATTTTGGGGCCTTTTACAGCTAACTATGCGGTGTGGGCTTTGCTCATTGTTGAAAAACCGTATGGTGACCTATAGTTATTATATGTCTGTGTCATTTGGTTGTCTTTATGAATAGTTGTCTCATTGACAATCACACCACATCTTCTTTTTTATATATATACTTGCACTCATAATAATTTAGAGCAAGATTATCTTACTCAGACATCAATCAAAATAATGGATTTGATGTTTCAAACACAGAATTTATTGCTCTTGAATATTGAGTAAAGTTCTTTGACCTAAGGTCCAAAAATTTGTTCAATCTTTTCCCAGTAATGAGGAGCTTTATTTTCAACTTCACACATCTTGTCACTTTCAATGAAAATATCACTTTATTAATTTCAAGCCTTCAAAGCAATTTCTGTATTTAACAGGGATGTATAAATATTTTTTTAAATGATAAAAAGGGATCTAAAAAGAATTCACATATAGGGAAGCTCTGCAGACTTCTCTGGTTTTATCCTTATATATGTTACAGTGAATTTGTAAAATCAGGGATTATGTATAATCACTGAACTGATTAGTGATTTTGACTAGGGATTTTACAAAATCACTGAAACAATTAAGTCCTTTTTTACAGATTCCCTGATTGAATTCAGTGAATTTGTAAAACAAAGTATTTCTTTTTTTATCTAACATTCTTATAAAAAAGTGAGTGGTCCATAAGTGACCGGTTGTTTGGCAAAATTATTTCATACTGGTTTTGGCTTTTATATTTTTCTAAATTAAACTATTTGGTAATTTGGTTTTCATTGTCTATCTTTTGTCTAAAATCTGTAAGTACTCATACTTTGGTGTTTAGCGATTTTCAAGTTATGTCTTATAGTGTGTCCTTTTATGTCATATCGTTACACCACTGTCTCCGGTAAGGATGAACTGTCCTAAGTCCGGAGCCTGATGTTCAGTGGTTGCCGTTTGTTGATGTGGTTCATAAGTGTTTCTCATTTCTTGTTTTTTGTATGCATAAGACCATTGGTTTTCCTGTTTGAATGGTTTAACACTAATCATTTTTTGGGGCCCTTTATAGCTTTCTGTTCGGTGTGAGCCAAGGCTCCGTGTTGAAGGCCATACTTTTAGTTATAATGGTTTACTTTTAAAAATTGAGACTTGGATGGAGAGTTCTCTTTTCTACATCTCTTATATCTTCATATGTCTTTAAATCAAAAGCAAGTTTACCCCAAAAGTTAATTCTAATAATTGATGAAAAATGAAAATGGAACATATGGAATCAAGAAAAAGTAAGAACTTTTAAATTTCATTCCTAAAAGCCTCAGAAAGAAGACAGTACAAACTCTAGTTATTAACTTGTTCAAAATTAAGTTATTTCTTATTAGATATAGTGCTTCTATTGTCATTAATAAAACGTATAAACCTTAATCAAATATAAAGATAGGACATTGCAGTGATTGCCTTTATGAGAGGATAAAACAAACGATTTGCCTAGGCTATGTAATCCAGTGGCAAATATTACATGCAATTCAGGACTAGAGCATCTTATTGTGACATGCAAATTGATATAACTAATAAGTGTTGTATTGCAAATTTTCAGCCTTTAAAGGACATTTATATCCACAAAATAGTAATTGTCATAAAAAATACAACATTAAAGTATACTAGGTAAAAATACTTTCTTTTCTTTCATTGGTCATATCTCCAGTGATAAAGCTTGTAAAAAAGTTTCTATATTTTCTCTTATATTTTGAATCAAATCAAATCAAAAGTAAATATTTGTTTAATGTAAGTATGGAGTTTTCCAATGTGGAGATTTAAAAATTATCGTAAAAAGAAGATTTCATCAGATGAAGATATCATTTTTTTGTATGTCTTGAAGACATTTAAAACATACTAGTATTGTTATAAAACATGACATTTTGTTAGGGTCATACACTAGAAACTAGCCTGAACCCAACGAGTCCCAGTTTTTGAGTCCATCATCTGTATCAATTGACAATTCCAGATCTGTTTGACAAGCAGTTAAATAGCCTTCCATTTGTGATGGACATTGATATTTTTTTAAATATCAATGTTCTTGAAAGAATCGATTTGAATAAAATAGGTGTATCTATCGAATAGCAGCTATTATATTGTTTATAATTACTGTAATTAATAAACTATTATTATTTATAAAAACAAGAGTGCACACGCTGAAATGTCTCGCCTTCTTTACTAATCATTGATATTTTGTTGATAGTCCTAAATATAAAGCTTTATTACAACTGTCACATAAACTTAACATTGACCAATGAACCATGAAAATGAGGTCAAGGTCAGATGAACCATGCCAGGCAGGCATGTACAGCTAACAATTCTTCCATACAACAAATAGAGTTGACCTATTGCTTATAGTTTAAGAAAAACAGACCAAAACACAAAAACTTAACACTGAGCAATGAACCTTGAAAATGAGGTCAAGGTAAAAAAAAAACCTGCGTGACTGACAAATAGATCATAAAATATTTCCATACACCAAATATAGTTGAACTATTGCATATAGTATTAGAAAAAAAAGACCAAAACTCAAAAACTTAACTTTGACCACTGAACCATGAAATGAGGTCAGTGATTTTGCTAGCGCTCGTCGTTTACGAAACAGTTTTCAAAATGATGAAAGTATTCCAAATCAATTTCGTCACTTAAATTTGGAAAGAGTAAAATTATTTTTGCATGAAAATACAATAATTCTACCTGTCTTATTGTTTCCGACAAGTTTATGACCCTCAGCTAATTAACATTTACAACAGGTGTTAAAAGTTGTGATTACAGATAATCTGCTTATCGCCATCGGATGGGTCACTAATCCGTTAATTATTTATCAACCTCATAATTAATTATCATAATTATTTTCCCCAGTAAAATCAGTCAGTCGGCAATACAATTTCAATTTTTATCAAACGAGAACAATTTGCAGTTCTTGTCGTTATTTCGTCATTTGAGTTTTCCCTCGGACAGTTCGCATTTTAATTTCAATATTTCTCAAACGATCACAATTTGCAGTTTGCTTGTCGTAGTTTTGTCAAATGAACGTATTTTCGTCATATTTGATATAACTTTTAATCAAAAACTTTCGACAATTTCGATTAAAAAGATAGAACTTTTATTCATAACATTCAGAAATGTTTTCACTAGTCAAACAGGTGCTTCCTTTACGATGAACTGCTCATGTGCGAAAGTATTCTTATGAATTTAAAAACGTAAAATACGAAATAATTAAGTATCAAACTAAACGAGAGAGACAAATATAGTTCTTATTTAGCAAATTTAATTTAAAAAATGATAATTTCCTGCCTTTTTTAAACACGAACCAATCCGTAGTTGAATCCGGATTCATTCTGAATTTATTATCCAATTGTCACTTCCCGTTTTCATTTCATTTGGAAATCGAAAGTAAACGTGATCTATTCATGATAAATTTACAATTTAAAGTCATTAGAATTGTTCCAATAAGGATTTATACAAATCCTTGGTTCTAACTTTATAGAATTAATTCTAAATATCGCTTTAAAACGTTTCTAAGGATAATGAGTATGAATAATGCAGTGAAATAGTCCTTACAAGTTCATTTATGCTGTGATTCCTGGTTTTAAAAAAAAATGGATCCCAACTTTTGCTGATTAGGAATGTACCCTGAAACTTACTGAAGTGAAATTGTGAACTAGATCTTATATCCTAATCTTCGTATTAAAGTGCCACATCAGTAAAATCATGCAGTAACTGCCTAGTATGCCTAAGTCCTTCAAAGTCTGACAAAGATGTATAGATAGTAATATACATCCTAGGTCCCTTGCTGCTACCCAAAATAAGGTTGATTTTCACCCCGCGCAAAAGTGACTAAAGCCCTCAAAATCCTAGCTTAAACCCTGTGAAAATGAGGTCAAGGTCTGATGACACCTGCCAGCTAGACATGTACACCTTACAATCATTCCATACACCAAATATAGTAGACCTATTGCATACAGTATAAGAAAAACAGACCAAAACACAAAAACTTAACTATAACCACTGAACCATGAAAATGAGGTCAAGGTCAGATGACACCTGCCAGTTGGACATGTACACCTTACAGTCCTTCCATACACCAATTATACTTGACCTATTGCTTATAGTATCTGAGATATGGACTTGACCACCAAAACTTAACCTTGATCACTGATCCATGAAATGAGGTCGAGGTCAAGTGAAAACTGTCTGACGGGCATGAGGACCTTGCAAGGTACGCACATACCAAATATAGTTATCCTATTACTTATAATAAGAGAGAATTTAACATTACAAAAAATGTTGACTTTTTTTTCAAGTAGTCACTGAACCATGAAAATGAGGTCAAGGACATTGGACATGTGACTGACGGAAACTTCGTAACATGAGGCATCCAGACCTTCCACCTTCTAAAATATAAAGCTTTTAAAAAGTTAGCTAACGCCGCCGCCGGATCAATATCCCTATGTCGAGCTTTCTGCGACAAAAGTCGCAGGCTCGACAAAAATCATTTCAAAATCATTTGTTTATGTGGTTTGTATTAAGAACAAGCATTCTGTGAGTATTGCATGGCAATACATAGTCCCCTACCGGTTAAAAATTCATTGTAATGGAGCAAACCTACCACTAAATTCTTCAAACAATTTACTAAAGAAAAGGAAAAAAATCCAAAATGTCATTTATCTTAATACAATGTCTTTTACAAATCTTTAAAAAAAAAAAGAGTTATTTCCCTTTGAAGAGAAATCTAGTAATTAATAAGTATTTCATCAAAAATTTAATTCTAGGGAAAGATTAAAAATGAGTTAATTCCCTTTGAACGGAAATCTAGTAATTATTAAGCATTTCATCAAAAATTTAATTCTAAGGAAAGGGCTTTAACTGAACAAGGAGGAATACTAAAATCGTGAAAATCAAACTTGACCTGTAACTTGTCATGATAAAACAATACACCAAATATCAAATCAATATCTTCAAGCATGAAGAAAAAAAGTCTGGAAAACTGATTTGCCGGACTGACGGATGGACAGACGGACGGACGGACAGAGTGCAAACCTAAAGTCCCCTTCGACTTCTTCGGTAGGGGACTCAAAACCGATTTCTAATATCAAGTTTAAACTTGTAATCAGGGATTTTGTTAAATTTCTGGCAATATTTTCAGTGATTTTGTAAAATCCCTGAAATTTCAGGGATTTTACAAAATCACTCAAACTGTTAGTAATTTTACAAAATCACTAATTATTATAGGGATTTTACAAAATCCCTGATTTTACAAATTCACTGTAACATATATACACGTGTTCACTCAGCAGACTTCTCTGGTTTTATCCTTTTATATACATGTGTTCAGCAGTCTTTTTTTATTTGACTAACAATCCTTATATTTACTTATTTATTGCATCAAATCAGATTTGCTACCACTTAGTCAATGCCATAGCTATATGTCACAAAAATCTTTTTAAAAATGCACAAAACAGTAAAAACCTACATAAATAATCTTTGACAGCTCTTTCAAATAACTCTTCTACTTTCTTCCTTTCTTTTTGATCATCACCAGCTAATGAAATCTCATCTTTAAGCCATTCTAACCACAGACCTGTGGAAATATGACAAAATATATAACATGTAGCTTTTTAATCATGAACAGCTTATGAAATCTCATCTTTAAGCCATTCTAACCACAGACCTGTGGAAATAAATTGACAAAATATATAACATGTAGCTTTTTAATCATGAACAGCTTATGAAATCTCATCTTTAAGCCATTCTAACCACAGACCTGTGGAAATAAATTGACAAAATATATAACATGTAGCTTTTTAATCATGAACAGCTTATGAAATCTCATCTTTAAGCCATTCTAATCATAGACCTGTATAATGTGTAGCTTTTCTAAATTGGTTTATTAATGCATAACACTAACCCTCTTTCCACAATTAGTCAGAAAACAAAAGGTACTGTAAATTCAGAAAATATTCCGACTTAAATGTGATTTAAATTTTTGCAATATTGAGAAAAATCCTATTTAATTCACATAAAAAATTTCAAAATGCATCTTTAAGTTATTGCGATTATAACCCTGTAACATTTTTCGCAACAATAAAACAATGCAATAATTTCTGAATTTTCAGTACCTAGAAAAAAATTATCTGAAATAGGTAAAGTTTTACTAGATATGAATTGCATGAAGAGTAATATCTCATCTGTTAGCACATGGATGGACTATAGCACACAAACAGTGTTAAGTGAATTACAGTAAAACAATGATTATGATTGAAAATACTCTCACTCTGATTGCTTTTATTTTAAATATATAAAGTATTAATTCAGCATGGTATTTCACCCTCAATCAACATTATTCACTGTGAAAATTCACAGTAAGTAATGAATTTGATGCGACTGTCATACAAGTGAGAGGTTTAGCTAGCTATAAAACCCGGTTTAACCAACCATTTTCTACATAAGAAAATGCCTGTACCAAGTCAGGAATATGACAGTTGTTATCCATTCGTTTGATGTGTTTGAGCTTTTGATTTTGCCATTTGATTTGGGACTTGCCGTTTTGAATTTTTCTCAGCGTTCAGTATTTTTGTGATTTTACTTCTTTTTTTTTAAAACAAAATAAACCTTACCTGTACTGTATTTACAGTTCTTGAAGAATGGTGGTCCGAAGGGTTTGAGCACCTAAATTTTTCAAAGGACAGACACAATTTTGGTAGATTGCAATATAAATAACAGTGAGGACCATAAGATATTCTTCAAGGACTACCAGGGCAGAAAAAAAAACAATTAAGAGAACTCTGTATTAATCTATCGACGAAAATCATTTTCCCTCATAAATAAAATGTGAACATTGTGGAACAACTTTAACTCCTCACATACCTTCTGCCAAGGGAAATAATTCACTCATTCGTTGTCTAGCATCTCTAAGCTGTTCTAACTCTCCAAGTTGTTTCAATAACTTAATTAAATCTATGTGAACATCATACAGGTATGGGTTCTTTGATATCTGAAAAATAGACTGAACATTTATTTACAGAACAGGGTAAAAAGGTTTTGGATGAAAATATAAATATTTCAAGAATAAAAAATAATTTTTCACCTGACACATGGCAGACATTGAAAGTTGCTATATTAGCCTATAACTTCAAAAAGGAATATTGCACAGTGAAACTGTTTAGTCTGAATTGAACACTGTCATGCACAACCAAGGATCACGCATTTATCGACAGTGATTTCATTAAAATGTGTATGTTGAACTTCAAACATGCACATACTGGATGTGTAGAAGCAGCTATAATGGTAAATAAACAAAATTGTATGTAACATTTCAGTTTTATGAATAAAAGTTTTTAATTGTATTTTAAGAGGCCGTGCCAATAAGCATTGAGCTTCGTACTGTACAAACCTTGAAAGTGCAAAAATTTAGATTCAGTTTAAAATGCTCTTAATTGATTTGTTATATCATAAAAAACATGTTTAAGACAAAAAAAATATTTTCAATCACGTCCTTACATCTTGTATCTAAGGAAAATGTTTCCTTAGTTACGAGTCCAAAGAGCGTACCAAAATTAGACAAAAATCAACACATTTTCAGGTCACCTAGAGCAAAAGTGAGACTAGGAATGTGTTTGTTGTTACAAACACAAAGTAAAGTAACCATTGCATATCATATGAAACATTTTTATCAGTGCTGATAATTTTGTAATATGTTGCTATGGCAACGGGAAAATGCAAAGGAATTTGAATTGGAAACATTAAGACCCAATTTGTATCATATGTATACAAAAATCCGGACTTACAGTGATATGATGTATATTGTATTCCTAATATTAAATATCTATATTGTTAATCAAAAAAATAAAATTGGGTAAACTTTAAAGAGAATTTTTTTGCTGACGGTTTCAAAAAAGCCTTTTTCCCGTTTTTCTAAGTTTTTCTGAAGTCTGCCAGAAATGGTCTGTAGACTGAGATGACCTGGTGTCATCCTACTGCTTATCTGCTAACATTATTATACTGTTTTGTTTCATGATATAATTGTTTATAGATGGAACATGCCAATTATTAAGTATTTGGGACTAATAAAGGCAGGTTCAGGGTTTGAAAAAGGGGGGGGCACAGAGGGCATACATTTTTATTTCTTTCAAAAATTCGTTCAAACTGTCTAAAATTTTGACCATTATGGGCATTTAAAATTCACAATTTTTAACCCTTTTTTATTTCACCAACCCTGGTTATGCCCCTCAAATGTGATATTAAGTCCTAAATTTTATAAATGATTTTGAATTTTTTTTTTCGAAATATTCAGATCATTCATTCCAACCTTTCCACATAAACAAATGAGATTTTTTATATGTTTAACAGATGATAACTTTACAGAGTTGATCTCATTAGAATTTGCTCTAATTATTGATCTAACTTCCTTTTCTAAGCAAGACACCCACAACATCCTATTAAAATAACCTACATGTTAAGTATTTGCTTTATTTCAACTATGGTCAAGCATCTTAAGTTCAAAATTTGTTGACTCAATCAGTCAATTTACATGGTATTTGCTGGAAGTTGCTGAACCAGTTTTGTTGCAAAATTTTTACACTATTGTTCAAGACTAGTAGGGTTGAGCACTTGTAAATAAATTACCCCCTCGCCTCACACATTCGTTAAGTGCCTGTCCCAAATCGGGAGCCTGTGATTTAGTGGTAGTCATTTGGTCGGGTTGTTGTCTCTTTGACATATTCCCCATTTCCATTCTCAATTTAATTTTCATTGGTTGCTGTCTGCCATAATTATTTCTCAGTTTACAGTTTAAGCCTAAATCAGGCATGGATTTTCGCATTTATTTGTTTTAAACATTTGTTCATGCTGTTGGCTCTTATCATTGTTTATAGCTTGCTATAGAGTATGAGATTTGCTCAATGGTGAAGGTTGTATGAACCCCAATAGTAGATAAGATATATATCATTTTTGGTATTTTGTGAATATTTGTCTTATTGGCAATTATACCACAACTCCTTATTTGAGTTCATCAGACACAAAAAAAAAATCTGTCATTTTACTGAATCTACTCTCATTTTATAACTGATATATATCCATGGAAGGATTATACCTTAAACTTAAACTGCATTAATGTTTTATCTATTGTATATATATATAGAATCAAATTTTTATTTTTCATGAGGGACGGTTTTGAATACAAATATTGTTAATTTCAATTTGTTCCAATATCATACATTCTTTTCTATACATGTGATCTCCCTAATATCTGATGAATTAGCTTAAAAACCCTCTGATAAAATATATATATTTGCGAAGAATAGAAACGTTTCATTGCAGTGTATCCCTTTTCATCAACGCCAACTTGAAAGAACATTGATTAATTTTGCAGGACAAGGTGATGCAGAGATTGATCACCAAATAAATTACAAATATGAAGAGATTGTCAAACATTTATGGAGTCCCTTAAGAACCATGTAAATATAATAGATATTTGCATTTGCTCGAGATTAAATGTGATGGGGACCAGTTTGAAAAAAATTGTGCGCACGATTTTTTAACTTGTGCATAACTTTCAATAAAATGCTTCGTTCAGCGCAGCCAGATACGACCGCAGAGATCAAACCCTGAACAGTTGGTGCATTTTTGGACACAACATTGAAGCTTGATACTGTCTGAATTTGGATTGTGATCAAATTTTTGACATAATATAGGTTTCTGACACAAAATAAATGTGGTGAAAGATCTTAAAAATTTGAAATGGGTCAAAATATTTTTATTAATTTTCAATTTAAGATTTCTTGCTATTGCGCAATACTTTGCAATCTGATAATTTTTGCTTATTACGCCATACTGTGGAATTGAAGATTTCTTGCTATTGCACAATACTGTGCAATTAGATAATTCTTGCTATTGTGTAATATTGTGATATTGCGCAATATTATGCAATTTGATATTTTTTGCTATTGCATAATACTGTAGAATCGAAGATTTCTTGCTATTGCGCAATACTGTGCAACGCAATACTGTGCAATTGAAGATTTCTTGCTATTGTGCAATATTGTGATATTGCGCAATAGAAGATGTCTTGTTATTGCGCAATACTGTGCTATTGCACGATACTTCTGCCATATCAGTATTTTTTGCTTTTATATATAAATCAGAAATAATCAATGGAAAAATGGAAAATCTTAAGAAAAAAAAAAAAAAATTATGACCCCCCCCCCCCCAAAAAAATCAAATCAAAAAAATTATTACCCCCCCCCCCCCTCTTGGAGTAATTACCTCCAAACTTTCCCTTTGTAGTATGGTACCTTGCAGTACAATTTCAGAGAGATTCATAAGCTTAAACACAAGTTATTGTCTCGAAACTAGAAAAATGCATGTTTTTGATGCCTCTTTTTTTGCCCCTAATTCCTAAACATTTTGGGCAATTACCCCCAAACTCAATCCCAGCCTTTCCTTTGTGATATGGAACCTTGTGCTACAATTACAGAGAGATCCATATGCTTAAATACAAGTAATTGTCTGGAAACTTGCAAAAATACTTTTTTGGGGCTTTTTTGGGCCCCTAATTCCTTAACTGTTTGCACCAAAACCCCCAAAATCAATCACAAGCTTCCTTTTTTTGGTATTGATTCTTCTGGTACAATTTCATAGAGATCCATTTACTTTAATTAAAGTTATTGTCCGGAAACCAAATGTGTCTTTGGACGACGCTGATGCCGACAAAGACGACATCATACCAATATAGGACGCAAAAAAATGTTTGATGTCGTAAAAAAACTAGTGGGCACGACTTTCAAACAAAGTTTGACTGATTCTATACGGAGGAGCGCACAAGTTTGAAAGTCATGCGAACTATAATTGAAAGTTATGCACACACAATTTTGAAACTTATATGCACAAGTTTTAAAGTTGTGGGCATGACGTTCGAAGTCGTGCACATGCTTTTAAAAGTCATACGCACCAGATTAAAAGTCAAGCACACGATTTTTCAAACTGGTGCGCACCTGATTTAATCTCCGACAAACAATAATATTTATATTTACATGGCAACTAAGGGGCTCTGTAAAGTTTTAACCACAAAAGTTTAAAAAGGTAAAAAGATCAAACCTTTAATATTCACTTTAATTTCTATTTGATATGACAACCCTACAATAAAGTCAGTAGAGTATTTTTGTTGAAAATCTTATCTGACAAAGAGGGAGGTATGATACACGCCATTATTTGTTCCCTAAAATTGCAAAAAAACAAAAAAAGTAAAATTATTCAAGCCTATCAAAATTATGATAACTTTATTGATAAATCAACAGGCTATTAGATATTGAATGATTTAGACCAAGTTTGGTTTTATTTGGCCCAGTTGTTTTAGAGGAGAAGATTTTTGTAAAAGATTGCAAAATTTACGAAAAATTGTGAAGAATTTATTTTAAAGGCTTATAACCATTTATGGGTCAATGGCAATTTTAATCATGTTGACTTATTTTTAGATACTACTTTGCTACACATTTTGCTGTTTACAGTTTGTCTTTATCAATAATTATATTACCAATTCAGGGGCAGCAACAAAACAACGGTTTGTCTAATGCTTAAAAACATTTCAGGACAGACAGAACTTGACTTGATGAACATTTTCACCTGTCAGATTTGCTATAAATGCTTTAGTTTCAGAGATATAAGCAAACAAATAAATTTCACCCCCATGTTATATGTTTTGCCATGGTGGCCATCTTGGTTGATGGGTGGGGTCATCGGATACATTTTTTAAACTAAATACCCTAAGGATGATTTAGGCCAAGCTCACAGGTTTTTTTTGTCACAGTAGTTGCAGAGGAGAAGATTTATGTAAGAGATAACAAAAATTTACGAAAAATTGTGTAAAATTTACTTTGAAAGGCCATAGCTCCTTATGGGGTCAATTTTGGTCATTTTGACTTATTTCTAGATCTTACTTTTATTACATGTATAACTTTTTATTTTCCAATGCAGAGGGCCGAAAATATTTATGGCCACCCTCTCTTTAGTAATGAAAAATCAAATAGTGTTTTAAACTTGGACTTTGGTTCAGTCACAACTTCCCACAAGAGCCTATGTAATGATTCGCTTTTTGCTGTTTCAAAGAAAGATTGAATGAATGAAATCATCGAACAAAGTTGATTCTTTTTGAATTATCATGAAATAATATAATTTAATTACGGGTGACACATGTGGAGCAGGATCTGCTTACCCTTCTGGAGCACATGAGATCACCCCCAAGTTTTTGGTGGGCTTGGTGTTGCTTAATCTTTATTTTTCTGTATTGTGTTTTGTAAACTATTGCTGCTGCATGTTTGTCTTTTTCTTTTTCAGCCATGGCGTTGTCAGTTTATTTTTGATTTATGAGTTTGAATGTCCTTCTGGTATCTTTCGCCCCTCTTTTACACCACATATGTTGGTTTCTATGCAATAAGTAGTGTTGCTTAAGATATTTTTAAATATCATTATGCACATGATGCATAATTGATCTTCTTATGTTATTTTAGTTTTTTACCAGATAATTATATTTTTAAATTGTGCTTGTTATCCATAAATTGAGCGTGGGTATTTTCAAATATCAGTTGATTACTAAGCATTTATGTCATGCATGTAGTGTTGCTAAGGAGAGTTTCGCATATCTTAATGCACAGTTGAACTGCTATTGTTTTTTTTTTTTATTTCACAGAAGGCTTCAAGTGCCTATTTTTGTGCATTTTGTTAAAAATCAACATTGTATATTTTCAGCCTCAGTTGGTTGCTATGCAAAACAGATGGTTGCCATGGAGATTTTATGCATATTTTCCTACTCAATTGAATACGCTTTTGTGTGACATTTGTTTGTCAGTACAAATTAAATCATATGTGTATTTTTTTTATAATATTGACCCCTATAAGGTGGCAATATTTTCAGTTTTTGTACAAATTGCTTCCGAAACAGCATAATGTTGGGTAGCTGCCACCAATATAAATACAAATGTCTACCCAATTCTTATTTTTTCTTTGAATTATATGATAGTCACTTATATTTGTCAGTACCATATTTCATATTACATACATCTGGATTTTTTACAATTTTGACCCAAAAATTGCTTATTTTTGTGTAAAATTTATAAACTTGAACCATTTGATTTTCTTGTTACCATAGCAACCATTAATAAACATTTTTTTTAGATCGTTTTTGCTTGTCATATAGTCTTATAAGCCTAAGATGTTCATTTTAACCAAGGTTTTATGATTTTTTATTTTTTTTACTTTCCACCTGAAGCTCTATGCTTATTGGCACAGCCTCTTAATTCATATTACAAATGTACTTGTCTCAGCCAGGGACTTTCTATACTAACGGGACTGGTCACTTATAGCGATGTCTATACAAATAAACTCATCATAGATACCAGGATCAAAATTTTATATTAACGCCAGATGCGCATTTCGTCTAAAAATTATCAGACTGATCTCGGCCGTAGCTGATGTCACGTAACTTTATAGCAAATCATTTCACATTTACGAAGTGTTCTTCATAACTATATGTTCAAGTTTAACAAAAAATCGTTTTTATGAAATTTTATACCTTTTGTCATTGCAACATACTGTTTTTCAAAAAGATTTCTCGTATCGTTTTTTAAAATATTGATCTTTGAACTTTGAGGTATTTGTTCGTGGAATTTTCATTAGCCGCCATCTTGTTTGATATGTAAACAATTTTACACAGCTGGGATGTTCTTCAAAATGATACGTCTAAGTTTAATAATTCATCATTCTTTCAAAATCTTATATTTTTTGTCATCGTAAATGGCTATTAATCAGATTTTATATTAACAACAAATAATAATTATATAATTACAATGTTCTGTGAAATACGCAAATAACTACTAGCATCGTATATCAAAGATACGAAACTAAGTTTATTGTTGGGTGGTAGCTTTAAACAGGCGGCTTAGTAATCAGTTAAAATCAATAGAGACGAGTCCCGTTAGTATAGAAAGTCCCTGTCTCAGCATGCATTGAAGTTCATTAACATTACAATAACACAAGTCACAATGTATTGATAGAAACAAATATTATTGTTACATTCATAATTGTTCAGTTCCTAACCCATTCCATCAGTTAGAGTCCAATGTAACAATAACTTTTTTTTTATTGTTACATTTCAATGTTATCGTGGCCAGTGCAATCTAAATAATGCTTTTGTATTCGAGTAATGCCAGAATTAATGAATTAATGTAACAATATAAACGCAATGTCACCGTAGACACAAATATTATTGTTACATTGGTAATATGTCGGTTCCTCACCCAACCCTGAATTACAGCAATTAGTCTCCTATGTAACAACATTTTTTAAATTATTGTTATATTTCAATGTAACCGTAGCCAGTGCCAACAAAATATATTACGCCACAAATGAGTGATTGTTGTATGAGGTCAATAGTTCACCCGCGCAGATTCTCAGGTCAACTGGCGCAGATTTCCAATTAGCGATATGGTGTATTAGTCATGGAATGTTTGTTCAGGGGTATATTGTTTGAGTTTGGATCTCTAGCTCTATAAAAAAAATAGTAAAGCTAACACTGAGTAACAGGCTAAGTTATGACCTGTTTCTGAAGTTCTGCAACTTGTCTCTCCGATTCCTCATTTTCGCTGTCAGAGTCATTGGAATCTGAATCCTTCTCGCATTCCATTTCTACATCTGCCTTTTCTTCGTCGTCACTATCTTGCATTTCTTTATTATTTTCGTCTGCCGTGGGGTCCGCCATTGCGTTTAAACAACGAACAAAGGGAGATAATTGTGAAAAATGCTATAACCCATGAAGCAGATACGGTATCGGGTCCTTGGTTCGTTTGCATTACGCTATTTGTATTCAAAAAAGTTTTTTTTTATCGCAAAAAAAAAATGGAAAGTTTTAAATGAATGCATAGATAGGTAGATTCGTGAAAAAAACATGTTTGATTCATATTTTTTCGGCAGGGAAACTGGTAATCTCAGCTAACTCAAATTGAGACTAAAATTGGAGTCGAACGCACCTGCCACGTGCAGGGCCAAAACTATAGATATCAGTGTAGACTGCTTGGAATACAGTGAATGAAATAAATAGACTACTAGGCCACAACATAATATCGGATATTACTCAAACTAGTCTCAGTTGATTATTATAATTTTACAGCGAATCTTGAGCAGTGAATAAACTCATCATAGATCACTAGCGTTTGTGGAATGCCCCCCCCCCTTTTTTTTTTCTTTTAATTTATTTGAAAATATTTCTTCATATTTCAAATAACATTGTCTTATTTTACTTATTTAAGGTGTTCAAAGTCTTATCAACGGGATTTAACAATATTAGTAAAAAACGATAAGGATAAAGACTTTGAACACCTTGAATAAGTAAAACTAACCGTTAAGTTAATATAAGTTGAAATATGAAGAAATATTTTCAAATGAAAAATAAAAACCAAAAATTAAAAAAAAAAGGGGGGGTCCACTCCACAAACGCCTGTGAATTTATGCAGGTTCTTGGAGAATGATTTATTATCTGAACCAAATTCAGTTTTATATTTTGTGAAATACCTTTGTCAGATTTAACAGTTTAAAAGATACATAACTTTTTTAACCCAGCCAGTTACTCAAGTGTGAAGTGAGTAGATTTTAAGAGCTTACCTGTATGATCATGTGATTTACAGGTAATAATTTTAAATTAGATTCAAATTTGTTTGATCTTCATTTGAACAAAGACTTGCATTTTTTTCCTGAACATTTTTTGGAGACATGAAATATGAAAAATAATGTTTGGAGGAGTTTAAGGTATTTAATTTAGTTATAATTATTTACTTTAATGTAACATGTTTTTTTTATTTCAATTATTTAGTTCCAGAAAATTATTTTTGAAAAATTGAAAGATTTCACAATTTTTTCATACAAAATAAGGTTGGATGTGAAACACAAAGATGACTATTTCTTCATGTTGGTTTATTTTTTAAGAGATGTATCAGTGGCAAATCCAGGGAGGGGGGTTCCGGGGTTGGAACCCTCCCCCCCCTTTGTTTGGGACGATCAATGCATTTGAATGGGGACATTAGGTAAACTACTGTTCTTTAAGAATAGACTAGTCTGACAGATAACAAATCTATCTGTGTGTAGGACTAGGCTACCTAGAAAGGAGGGTAGTATACGTAACCTAATAATGATTTCACGATTCAGTTATCAAGCAAGCTAACCAAAGATATCACCTTTACCTACACACTCAATGCAATCGGCTGTAAGTGGAAAACATTGTATTCTATGGTAATTTGAATGTTTGGAGGTGAGTTTTACTTCTCCCATCATCAAGTAGATTATACTGACCTATTTTACATTTTTCATAGACTTGCTTAAATATTAAATTTTTCTTTTCAGTTCTTGGATACTATGAACTTACAGTTGTCTAAGTTGGTACTCAGATGTATTAAGGTTACCCAGACAGTATAACAACGGCAATATATAGATTTTCAACAATGATTGACCCTGTGTAGATCAGTGTATATAGGTATAATAGGCAATAATAAATGGAAAACAAAATTTATATCTGTTATTCTACCTTTTGAATATATAAATAGATAACTTCTGAATCCACTGGCGGATCCAGAAATTTCATAAGTGGGGCCCACTGACTGCTAAGAGGGGGCCCGGTCCAGTCATGCTTCAGTGATTCCCTATATAATCAACCAAATTTTTTCCAGAAAAGGGCCCCCCCTCTAAAACTGCCTCTGGAATCAAAGCCCCCTAAATTTCATTTAGTTAAAGTTGCCTGAAGTCGATAACCATGGTATGAAGGGTTGTCAATTAAAAATGATTAAATCCTACTAAATTGACAACAACCATTTTAGTAAGTGAAACTTTTATTGGTTGACATGTACCACCAATTAGATCATGTTAGAGAGCTACCATTTGATTTTTATGCAGTGGTAGATAGATATATGTAGAATCTATATTTACATGCAAAGAAACGTTTGATAGGTTTCACAAATATTTGGTTAGATATTTGTATTCTTGTTGAGATAAATAGATTAAATTTAGGTGAAAAATAGAATTGATTAAAGGAGATGTACCAAAGAAAAGAAATTAAATTCTTAGATTGAATAAACATTTTTTTATAAAGAACCATGAATAATATATAGATTTTAAGTTTCCATCCTTTCAAATATTATATACAAAAGTAACAAAACTGATATTTTTTAGGAACTCAAAAATTGAGCAGAGAGTATTCAACAACCTTGAAGAGTAAGCAATGTGTACAGTAAGACAGCTGTCTCTATAGTTACCAAAAAGTATGGTAAGAACCTCAACTAGACGTGGTGAGTATTTTTTGTTTGTTAAGACTATAATTTTTGTCTCAGATCCTCATTAGGAAAAAAGGATGCTGGTATACATCAATGAAGCAGCAACCCAACAAAAGTTTTTTTCAATTCTCAAAGCTCACCCTTAGTAAAGTTTTCAAACTTGCATTTACTGAATGATGCTCATGCAATGCCTAAACAAAACTACAAAATTTCTTTTTTCAATTCTCAAAGGTCACCCTTAGTAAAGTTTTCGAACTTGCATTTTCTGAATAAATGCTCATGCAATGCCTAAACAAAACCTCAAAATTTCATGCAGATTTTTTTTCTTTCTGGCTCTAAAAGTTTAAATAATATTATTTATGTCTCTTTAAACAAAATTGATACCAGACATCGCAAAACTTTTTGAAAATCTACGAGATGATACTAAGAAAAAATGTCAATCTTGTTACTTCATTTAATACTATCTCATTGGCCTTTAACGTTATTTATTTTTCAATTGCTCTGGTACTTATACGTACAAGTGAATGGAAACTGTTTTATTTAGATTTACCTTTAATCAAGTATGGCCTTTTTTTTTTATTAATCTTTTATCTTCTATTATGTTTTTATACTAAGTTGTGTCAAATATATCAAATATGTCAATTCTAAAAATCTTAAATATTGTTATAAAAATGTTTATTTCTATTTTTACTTATTTTATCAATGATTTTATGACTTCATGAATTTATTCGAATGAGTAACTTCACATGTATGCCTTTTCTAATTCTGGGTTTTTGATTGAAACAAAATTAATTTTCAAAAGATACTATATTTCTGTTCTCAAGTGTTCCTTTTGTTAATGTCTTTGATATTCATAATTGATAATTAAGTTGAAGAAAATCAGAAATTGTTTAAATAACATAACCCTTTTGCCATGCTGACATCAACAAAATATTTTTTTTTTTTTATCATTTTCAACAAAAATAAGGCAATATTGGTGAAGGATGCCATTCTAACAAAACACAGCACAGAGACCCTCATCAACACACTAACATGTCAAATGTGTATCCTACTTCATAAATATCATTATATAATGTTAATGTACAAGTTTGGGAAGAAGATCTTTCATTAAAAGATTTTACTCCTTTTACTCTGTAGAGACAATATATTTCACCAACACTTTGACTGATGCACATAGACCTCTGACAAACAAAACATTTGTGAAATGAATGGCACTAGTTGAGGAAATGGAAAGTATTTTGTCATTGTTGGTTGTTTTATGGGATTTGACCTCTCGAGTCACAAAGAACCTTATGTTTGTTAGTTCCATTGAAATGTTCAATGCATTGTAAATGTTGAACATTCGAATGACTTTGACTGATTTTTTTTTAATAGTTTCTGCAGAGTATAAATGAGTTCGATCAAAACGCAGCAAAACCTATTCTAAGTGATTAGAAAATTTGATTTTAATGTTTGATAAAGTTTTCACCATATTTTAATGTTGATAGCAAGGCTTATGGTTTGTGCACTAGAATATGCTTTTTTTCACAAGGAGCTTGTCACTTTTCCCTAACAAACATTAAAGAATCCACCAAATTTGTAAAGCTAAGCTTAAGGTTTGATATGTTACACACACTTAGGAGCTTGAAATTGTTATAAAAATTACTTAATTGTCTTGTGTATTTTAGCCAGCTTCCACTCGCTTTTTAAAAGTTTGAAAACAAAAATATTTAGAATATTTATCACTTAAAGAAACATACACTATGATTTAGATAAAAAATTACAGCATTAAGCTTTTTATAAACATTAATAAAAATAGATTCATGTAGTAATTAATAGCTTGCAATTAGCAGTCAGTTTTGTTAAATTTTGTAAAAATGAGCTCAAACACATTGTTAATTTATTATTGTTTTCCAAGTCTTTAATTCAACCTCATTTTGGTCTATATGCATGCAATTATTTAAAAAGTATACATGTAAATCGTATATAAAATTGAGAATGGAAATGGGGAATATGTCAGAGACAACAACCCAACCAAAGATCTGAAAACCGCCTAAGGGTGTTCAACACAGAAAGAAAATCCAGTACCAGGAGGCAAGCTTCAGCTGGTGCATAAACAAAAATGTGTACTAGTTCAGTGAAAATGGATGACATACTAAACTCCGAAGCATACAAATGAACTAAAATTAAATGTTATACAAGACAAACAAAGACCAGAGGCTCTTAACTTGGGACAGATACAAAAATACAGCAGGGTTAAACATGCATGTCTTATGAGTTCTCAATCCACCCATATACCTCTAGGAGCCAATGTAAAAAAAAATAAACACACAGCAATACTCACAGTAAAATTCAATTCAAACTAAGTCTGTGTCTGATGTCAGTATAAGTTACAAAACTAATTAAGCAAAATAAAAATGATTTCAGTATTTTGACAGCAGTTATATTGCTAGATTTGACGGAAAATTAAAGTAAAAAAAGT